ATTATTCTTACTGTGTAGCAGTGAAAGTATGAAAACCCACCACTTTAATGTGTATTTTTATTCTTTATTTAATTTCATAACTTCAGGTTCAGTTACACTTTGTGTAGTTTGTGATTTGCTTTTTGATATCTGGTATCTAGCATTGTAAAAAAGATTTTAAAATGTTGGTGTGGGTGGTTTCGTTTTCTAGGTTACCTCTTCAACTTAACCAGCATCCCAGCAGTAACTGGCCTAAGATAAAGTAAGGGATTTGACCTTAAAATTGACATGCTACTATTAGTACTGCAGGGTTCAGCTTGTCTTACTGAAAATAAAGCAAGTTTATTGCCTGAGCTCACTCCTCTTGTTTAGAATTGTCTTCTCACTGTATTTAAAAACACCATAATTTAGTCCGATGTGGAGGGAAACATCTTTAATTCTTTTCAAGGGCTATGGTTGTGTTCATCTCTGAAGTCTACAGCATGGGAACCTTATTTAAGACCTGTATGGTTGATGCTGTATTGAAATCCAAGTTTGATATTTGAATTGGTAGTGGTCTCAAGGTGATTCTCCTTATGCTCCCCCTTAAAAAGCTGTATAGACATTATTTGTTTCAGTTTGTATCTTATGTTTGAATTCTTTAGATGCTACAACATATGATAGATGCAAACCAGTCTTTTCCTCACTGTGTCAATATCATGGAGGTCTCCCTCTGGTGCTTTACTGTGCAATCTGTGCTTGGTTTGGAGATAAATAAATAAATCCCTCCTCCCTTAAACCAGGTTACACTGTAAGTGGAATTGCATTAAAAAAAATCATAAGATAGTGAATTAATTGGGATATATGCAGTCTGTTCATAATGAAAGACACCTTGAGAATGAAGTAGTATTTGTTACCAAATGCAGTTTGGAAAGTTGAGCTCTAGGATAACTTTATGAAAACCCTGATGCAAGCTGCTGGTTTATAGTGCTTACTTTCCTTGTTCTTACCTGTCAGAACCATTAGGAAAAGAAGACCAGATGAATACTTGGACAACTGATTTTTTTTTTTTTTTTAAACAATATGGAAAGCTAAAAATACAAAGTGTTTTCCCACTCCTCGTTCTTATAGTCAGTTCAGTTTCCATAGGAATGTTAAACAGTGATCATAAGAGCTCATGAGGCAATTTCTCCTGATGAACCAATCAAGCTGGAAAACTAATGTAAAAGGTGACTGTCACCCCCTTCTCCCCTTGCCTGCCCCTGTATTTGTACATACATAGGCACGTGCACACACACTCAACTTGCTGAGTAGCCACCTCCTTCATTTGTGTGGTAAAGGTTTCCTTTGTTTTCAGTTAAATTAGAAATCAAAGAACTCTTCCAAGTGATTCAAATGCAGTCACTCTTTTGACAGTAAGATTTAGTGCTGTATGACTGGTTTTCCTTGCTCAGTTAGAATGCCGATTTGAAGTAGTCCTATTTACCTGGACTACATGTTTTTTTTGTATTGCACTCATTTTTTAATTCTGTACTTGAGACAGATACGATGGTGTAGACTGAACAGGAACAATAACTATACTCTTACAAGCTGATCTGAAATCTCCAGTTTTAGGTGGGATTGTTGCTGTTTTTGCAGGTGTCAGGCTCTAAAGCTCCTTTTCACGCAGGAAAAAGCGAGGAGTAAATGGATTCAAAAAATGCAACAAGTATAATGTGAAATAGAAGTGGCAATATCTTCTGTGCCATGAAAATATGCCATGACATTTTGTTCATCTAGGAAATCTGAGTAATATAATGGGGCTGTGGAAGAGAAGTGAAATGACTCAAAAAGAAAAAATGCTAAGCCAAAACCAAAATGTCAGTGAACAGCTTTTTGCTCAGAAAAAATAAGCATTGAGCTTCAAGCTTTATTTTCATAGTTTTGCTTTTATTGAAATAAAATGAAATCTTGCTTGTATTTACCTGTTCTTTTCCCCCTCTGTTTTCAAAGTCAGGAATATAGATTTTTGCCTGGCTCTTAAATTAGTGATGTTGCTAATGGTAATGTTCAAGCTTTAAATTTTTCACCTAAACAAACATAAACTACTTTCAGGAAAAAATAAGTAGTAGTGAGGGTGTCTAAGGCTCACCTGCTTCTTTTTTCACTGTGAGGGTGCCTGAGTGTTAGCGTAGGTTGCTCAGGGTGGTTGTTGAATCTCCATCCTGGGAGATCCTTGAAAGATGTCTGGGCAACCAGTGCTGGGTGGCTCTGCTTGAGCAGGGTGGTTGGACCAGATAACCTCCATACATCCATGCCAACCTCAGCCATTCTGTGATTCTCCAGAAGTTATCTGTGTGTGTGTGAAAATTCTGCATCTTTCATTCCTAACAAAAAGCAGTTACTTGATAGAGACACTGATGTATGTAAGTATGAACTAATGTGCCTGAATCATTAATGTTTTAATAAGCACAGCCTCATGGGTGCCTAATAGAGGTTAAGTATTTACCTGTATGCTTCAAGCATCTTAGGTTCTTTTTTGTATCCTGGACCATTATCAGGTATTCATTAGTGCCTGACAGAATGTTTCTATCTAGTCACTTCACTGCAGTTCTTCAAAATATTTATATTTTGCTATTTTTTAATGATCATCCTGGTATGAATCCTATTATGTGTGTGCTATGTAATATAAAAATTGTTCTGCCCTTGAAATGAACTGTCAGTACATACATGAGACTGCAGTATTGTTGGCATATGACACAGGTGCAGAAATAGGTGTAGCTAGTGAGAACAGAAGATGAGTGATCCCATTTTCTGAGAATGAAAGATTCAAACTAGCATGGAAACCAAAAAACAGGGAAGGCTCATTAGGCAGCTAACTGGCTTTTTGCTGGAGTTTGTGCCAATGGTACTTTTGGCCAGAAGCAGTGGTTACCTCTGAGTACTTGCTTTGGTCATTTTTCTTTTTTTGAGATTGAGTATTGTTTGTATTTGTCTTAATCTTGCCTGTCTGCAGAGAACACTTGCAGTAAATATGAAAAAAAAGATATTTACATTGATTATCTCCATCACAGTGTTTCTGTATCTGTTTTGACAATCGTAATACTCCATTCAAGGGAGGAGAATTTGGTGGCTGGGTGTGAAATATTTTCCAGGTTTGTCTAGAAGAATCTCTTGCTGTTAAACTTAAGTCAGGGAGACTGAGATTTGTGCTTATGTCTTACAGTAGGGAAGTAAGGTATCCACTTTCTGTGGCTAAGGCTTTCAGACGCTCAGAAGATAGCTTTATATTTTCCTCTGCCTAGGAGAGGAAAGGAGTCTTCAAGGTGTTTGGAAAGCTTGAAGCAGATCTCTGTGCATGCATTCTTGAATATTCTGGGTTTTCTTCTGTGACTTTCTTCCGTGGTAAAGTGAGACTTTATCAATGCTCACTACTTGGACTGGAATGTTTGTTTCCTGGTAACTTATTGCTCAGGTTCAAAACTTCAGTATTAAATATACGGCTATTTAATCTTTAAATACCTATATTTAGTGTAGATGCTCATCTTCAAAATAACTCACAGAAGGCTGAAAGCCAGTGTCTGAGCATGACAAAAATACCATTTTAATAACTTACTTCAAAGTCACTGTTACTATACGCAGAATACATTTTAGGAGTAAAGCATATCCTATCCATGCTACCTTTAATTTGAATTCTGGTGTTTTGAGAGTCTTTATGGAGTTGGACTTAATCTGCCCATTTAAGCCTTAAGAGGAATTTTGTGAAGTTCTCTCTTTGTCTGTTTTTCTTGTACTACCTTAGCTGTTCTGCATAGGACTGGTGATTGAAAGGAGCTCATATGCTATGTGAGATCAGTGCACATGGTTAGGATGTCCGAGGTCTTCAGTCGTGGTTGGATGCAGTGGTTGTGTAGGGAGAATAATTTTCAGGGTAGATATCATGTAAAGATTACCCGCTTGGTTTAAGCAATGTGGGAAGACATAATAAAAGTAGGTAACACAATAAAACATGCTTTCTGCTTCTGCCTACAAAGTAGACTTTTCAGTGGAATATGCCCAAGTTGGGGTGAGCCTGTGTGAGAAATGAGAGTGGGCTTGCATGTGGAAGTATATTGGCAAATGCATAAAAATTAAAGTAAAATTGTTGTGCTGGTACCTTACTGGCAAGGATGTCAGAAGAAAGTGTCCCAGTAGCTCTGTTGTTTGCAATTAGTAAAATCAGTGTTAGAGCACCAGTTTAAAAAAAAAAAAAAAATAAATTTGTATATACTTGATATATTTACATTTGGAAATCTAACCCTCAGCTATTAGAGGGTTGTTACATTTTTAGACTCAAGAGCAAATGCTATGCTGTATAACCTTGTAGACGTGTGATGTGCGTGTGGTGTAAGCAAGAAGTACGTGTTTCATTCGGCGCGGAGCATGCAGAGATAGGAGGTAAAGGATGTGGCTGCAGCAGCGCTGCAGCATGCGAACACTTCTCCGATCGTACACTTGAGGGCTCTGAAGACTGAGAGGAATGGTGCAGAAGCAATTGCGGTTGAAGAATGTATTTTAACTAAATTGGTGCTTTGTACCTGCGCGGGGTTTAATGCTTTCTGGGCCATTTGGCTATTTGCCATAATTGGCTTTCCATTCCCTTGATTGGAATCATAGATAAAAATTTGCTAATCCACTTTCTTTGCTGAAAGTATTAGAAAAGTAATCCATCTTTTAAAAATGCTTGAGCAAAATCATACGGTATAAAGAATATGTTATTGAATAACGAGATTAATGAGAACTGTAAGGCATATGCAATTTAAAACATTTTTCTATGGTTTTAAGGGGAAAAACGCAATCTGGGCTCTTTAAAGCCATAAGTACTTTGTTTTTTTTTTAATGCAGTGCCTTTTAAATGTGCATTACATGTTATGCTTTTGTCTCCCTTGTCTACTTGAGAAAATGTGAGTATATATTTAGGAAGAAGGAACTGCTATTTATTTTTATTTTTCTTGTGTTTGAAAATATCTGATGTAAATTTCTTGCCTGTGTTCTTTCCTCCCTCTCCCCTTTTCTGCCCATAGGGCATCAGAGCGCGTGTTTTGGAAACCCTTGTAATGCTTATTCTTCTTGCACTGCTTATCCTTGGAATCGTATGGGTGGCTTCGGCACTCATAGACAATGATGCTGCCAGTATGGAGTCTTTGTATGGTATGGAATTCAAAAAAACACCACACTAATTTCATTTTAATTATGGAAATGGATGTTTTCAATTAAATGTATTTCTAGTAAATGCTATGTGAGTGTTGCACAGGTTGCGATGAAGCTGTATTAATTTAGTCAATAGGATTTGTTTTGTTAAATCAGTTTTTAACATGCTGAGGAGTTACATGTGGACATGGTGTATATTAAAAACAAGAGACTTAAGTGGTATAGTTTTCCATGTAAGTGATTTTTCAAGCTAAAGAACTTGGGGATTTAGTTGCTTGCAGGATTATTAAGTCAGTAATTCTCTATTTATTCTTGAAAGTACAGTTGTTCAGTACTGAATGCTTAAGAAAAAAGGTTAATTCATTAGTGTTTGTGACATAAGTAGCCTATTTGTAATAAGCTAAGGCTGTGCTGAATATTTTCTTTACAGATCTCTGGGAATTCTACCTCCCATATTTATATTCCTGTATATCACTGATGGGATGCTTGTTACTTCTGTGTAAGTATTTTACAGATTATTCCGAAAGATGAATGATTTTATGGTTGATTTTTTTTTTTTTAAACATTAAAACTTTTTCATTATGAAAATCAGTGTTGTGAAAGCTGAATGTGATTTCCCCCTCCTCCCCATTTTTAAGTTTAAATTGAGATGTAAATTTGTTAGGTTTGGGTTCTGAAGTTTGAACAAATGCTACTTTACATATTCAGGTTTTGAGGAACTTCACACCTCACCCAAAATAATTTCAACTTTTAACTTTTTAAAGGTATTTGAAAAATGGGGCTTCTATTCTGCAAAGAAAAGCACAGTTTTTAAATATATCTTCAGGAGGTCAGTAGTACAGAGAGACAGTTATTTTGGAGCATTTAATTTGTCCTATATTAAGTAAGCTACCCTTCTTCCTTATTTAATTGAAAATGTTCTTGTATAGACAGAAGTTGGAACAGTGCAGTTACCTATTTTGTGATTATGAAAGCTATCTGGAGGTCAGTTATATATTTGCATATAAAGGAAATGCAGTAAAAATCCCAGCCTTATAGCAACTGGTCGTAGCAAAGGTTCAGTCATCCATGTTCAAAAAACATGTAGACATCCATGTTCAAAAAACATGTAGATGAGAGCCTTAGTGATGTGATTTAGTGGTGGACTTGGCGGTCCTCGGGTGGTGGTTGGACTTGATGATCTTGAAAGTCTTTTCCAACCTAGTTGATTCTGTGATTCTGTGTTTAGGGGAATAAGATAAATGATGGAAGCTTCCAAATCCCACTTGTAATTTCAGTCCCCATCTTCTCTCCCCAGGTAATTTCTAGAAAATTGCTGTGAGGAGGACAGAACATATCCCTCTCCAGATTATCCTGATTTCATTTGTTCTCTAGGTTTGATAGGTTTACAGCAAACACAGGGTTGTCATTGTGGGGAATGGTAGTTCAAAACATCCTTAAGACTGAGCAGATCTTTTTGTGAAAGGTGTTGCTCGTAGAGACCTTGGTGAGTCTCCTTAGGTTCTCTCTACGTGGAGATTCTTAAATCAAGTTTAACTATTTGAAGGGAGGGGTGTGGATTAAGGAGGAAAAAAGTGGTTTTGAGTGTCTCCTGTAAGCTGTTGAAGAGTGAGTCACAGCAGTTGCTGAATGGTTTTAATGGGGCAGTTTGCTTACAGACTTTGTATCTCTTGTCTCTTGTTTGTTTTGGTACAGCTGAAAACACAGGGTGCATTCTGGGGCTGTTGTAAACCAGTTCACCAAAATAATTGGGTTTAAATACCAAGTTTTGGAAGAATTATTTGTAACTTGTACAAGCAAATCACTGAAGTAAAGGTGCTCCAAGCTGCGTTTTCTGTTTAGCTGAAAAGACATCATACAACAGCGGGAAGGTGGTAGATGGCTGGGGTAAAGCTTCCTTATATCTTCAGCTGGCTTAGTTGCTGAAGGGGTGTATGAATATTGCTGTGGTGATTTGGAGCATCACTTCCGTTCTCTTTTTTTCCTTTTCCTGTAGGCTTCCTTTGTTGTGAATGAAGACTATCTTAACTTAGCCTTTTGTATTTTTCGTATAGTACATAGTAGCCAAAGGGAAACACCATTTAAAAATAAATTTAATCCTCCCTATGAAATCTGATGTGCTTCTCTGTTATTTGGCAACTCTGTTCTGCTATAATGGAAACATAAATATATATTCTTATCTATGCTATTACAAATTTGTTCTATCTTTCACACACTTCTCACTATTTGAAGGCTGTTCTCCCGAAACTGTTGATTTTTACTAATAATTTTCTATTATCATGGCTTGAGCCTTTCTCCCAGCAAGCACACATGCACCATACCTGGAAACAATCACAGGCTATGATCAAAAAGGGCCCATGGTTATTTTAAAGAAAAATAGCTTAAAATCTGGTGGCTGAGCCTGCTATTAACTGAAGTTGCAGTACAACTTAGCAAAGCAGCATCATGATCTCTTGACCTCACAGCTACACCTGTGCCAATAGATTAAATGGGTCTTCAGTGGTCTCCAGTGCTCTGGCCAACTAGTGTCTTTCTGTCCTGTGATATTGCAGTATGCAGTAGGTGGCTCTGTGGGTATCACTTCCTGATAATGGTTCCTGGACTGCAGGAACTCTAGAACTGCACCTGAGAACTGTTTGGGAAAGTGCTAACTGGCCCAGGGCATATCATGCCATGGATAGTTCTAGCAATTTACTGATATAGGCAAGCGAGTCTTAATGCCCAGGAATGTATCCTGGCACTGCTGAATTTACTAGTGTAGACACAGCCTCTGATGCCACATGCTTTGAATAAATAATTACTTGAGCAAGTTCAAGATATCTGATTAGATGATGTTCCTTGTTTACAAAAAGAAAAAAAAATCACACTTATGCTCTCGAAGGGGAGAGATGCTTGTCTTGTTCAAAATTTGTATGATAACAGTGTGGTTTAAAGTTCATATTGGAGCTTGAAGCTCCTGCAGTTCTCTTCAAAACCGTGCTTGATTATATGTGGAATAGCACTTTGAACATCCAAATAAAATTGGTCCTTGACTTATAAATCACTGTTTACACTGATCTTTTTTCCTCTGCAGTATGCACCCCAGTGGGACTTTCACGGATGTTTACAGTAATGGGTCAGTTGCTGGTGAAGCCAACAGTAAGTGTTACACAAATCTGTCCTCATTTGCTCTCTGTTAGAAAGTGGAATGGCATTAGGGTATTTCCTTTTTGAATGCTTACACTTCTTTGCAGTTCTCTTCAGTTCATCAGAGTTTCTATAGTCAGTATTTCTGTACTTGTTTAAAGATTTTCATAGAGCACAAAAGCCTATTCTTTTCTACAGAAAAAGTTTTTTAATATTATAGGCTTCCTCTGATTTTCCAATTTATATCACTGCTACTAGTATTAATATTTATTGCCAGTATTGCCTCCTGTGTCTGTTTTATAAATGCCTGAAAAATGTGGGTTTGTTCTGAGTTCAGAAGCAAATGATACAAAACTAAGCAAAGGATACAAAGCTAAGGCTGGATAACAAAAAGGGTATGTGGGAGTACACTTGGATGGGTGAAAAATGGAGGTAGTTAGCATCTTTAAGATCTTAGACTGAGTTCTTGTACTGAGTGTTGTGAGGGAAGGGAGAAGTTTGCATCATGTACAAGTGCTCTAGTGACTTTGCTGTCGCATTTCTTAGTTTGTATTTGCTAAAATTTGGATACACTTGGGTCCTGCATTCCTTTTCATTAGTCAGTTCAAACCTGAAAATACAAAGAAAATACGTATTGTTTGGCTGTTTGTAAGCTTTAAACTCATAGTACCTGATAGTAAGGTAGACAGACTTAATTTATTTTGTTTTATCTTCCAGTAGAAATTCCTACTTGCTTGAAATACTGGCTTATGTGAAAAGTCACTTTTTAAAATACACTTTTTCAAAATCTGTAGGTATTTTTGTTTAAATCAAATTGAGTGTGAAGGTTGGTATGGTTTGAATATATCAGGGGAAGGTCAGATGTACTGTCCTCTCCCCTGTTCCTTAAGTGTCTTTAGATTCAAAGTGAACATAAAAGAGCTTTAACCTGAAATGAAAACTTAACAAAAAGTTTGCTTACCATAAAGAAATAGATCTGTAATAGAATGGAATAATATTTTGTGGGGCTCTTATTTGTATCAGTATTGCAGAGTTGTAGACTGTATATTTAAAATGCAGGTTACTAGAACAAAATGAACCTGCTAGTTGACTGCAGTTTTTTCTAAACAAGTGACTCTGGTAGTCAGTTCATGTTTCTGTTTACTAATACAGATCCTTGAAGACCTAGATGAGCAGATGTACATCATCACTTTGGAGGAAGAAGCAATTCAGAGGAGGCTTAATGGTATGCTTGTTCTGATACTGTTTCAGATGCAGTATTTACACTAGAGTGGTTCTGATCAGGAGCATTGATCTCACTGTTGCATAGCCTTTTCTCTCCAAATAGAAAACTTCAGCATCTTAGTGTGTAACAAGCATTATTAGGCTTATGTTCCATTGTTCACTGTGATGTTCAAGATTGGCTTGTGTTGTTTGCTTTGGTTATGTTTTTTTTAACATGTTCATGAGCTCTAATATATGAATATTCTGAGACTGAGAAAGCAGATTGAGTAGTTGACCAGACACACCACCTGTATTGCAAAATAGTTTGGATTGGTAAATGACTGTATTTTAGCCTTATCTGAAGAACAGTGAATTTATACTAGCAAGAGGTTCAACTTCCTGCATTATGAGTTTTGGTTTTCATTTGGAGGATTTTTTCTGTTTCAGTTCATTATTATTTAGAATCTTAGGTAGTAATTCATTAAACATCAGAGCAGTTCTTTATGTTCTAGGAGTATTTGAATTTAATAATTTCAGTAATTTTATTAATAATTAAAATGAATAATTATTCAAATGTTTTAGAATTCTTGTATGTAGTATTAGAATTCTGTAGTTCTTAAGGTGTTTGTTTTGATGTATGTTCAAAAATAGTATGAACTTTTGGTTTGTAAGAGCGTATTGCAGCATGGCAGGCACCAATTACAAAAAAAAATATTGATTCTACAAACCTGGAAATGATGTTGTACAAATTCTCTTCCGAATTGTTTTTTAGCTGCACAGATAAGCCATCTATTCACAATTTATTACAGTTGCTTCAGGTTGGAAAACCAAAGAATATTCATGTCATGACACATCCATTGTTGGATGTGACTACATCCATTGTTGTCTTATGACTTATTTTAGCCTTAATTTTCTCGATTTCCTGCCTTTCTCTCTTAAGTCTTCTGTCATATATCTCAATCTTTTCTTCTTTCAAGTCTCAGTAAATCTCTTTTCGAAGTTGCTTGGTCAGGGAAAGTACCTTTTATAGCAGCAGATCGTGGTGGTCGTCTTTATTCCAGTGTTTAAAATTTGTGGTGGACTAGTGACTTCTTTGTGTAGAAGTAATGTTCACCTTTGCTGTTTTAGAAGCTTAGGTTTTCATACTGACATGGAGAGAGATATATATATATTTATATATATATGCATTCACATACAGATGCACAAAAAGTGTGTACAGTGTCTTTGAAGCTGTGATGGAGTAATTATTGTTCTGTGTTTTTGATGTTAGCTAGCAACTGTAAAATATTTGTTACTGAATATTTTATGTTGTCATGGTGGTTGTGCTTGTGTACAAGAAAAGCAATACCTGAATAACTATTGGGTCACTTTTCTGTATCTATTAAATGTAGTGCAGAGTTGTTTCTGCTGTTCAGGTGGAGAATGTGATTATTTAGGTGATAAGTGCCTGCTGCTGTTCTGTGTAGAAGTCTGTGACAGTTTATACTGCAGTTTAGTAATATTACTTGTGAGGTAGACCTAGTCTGTTTGTAGGCATCTACTAATGGAGTCTGGATTTAGGATGTGTGCAGGAGTGTTCCCGCACCACCAGCCAAAAGACTAGGTTTTCTCAGTGAATTGATACGTATTCAGCATAAAGTAGAGCTGCAGCATAGAATCATAGAATAGTTAGGGTTGGAAAGGACCTTAAGATCATCAAGTTCCAACCCCCCTGCCGTGGGCAGGGACACCTTACGCTAAATCATATCACCCAAGGCCTCGTCCAGGCTGGTCTTGAACACTGTCAGGGATGGACCATTCACAACCTCCCTGGGCAACCCATTCCAGTGCCTCACCACCCTAACAGGAGAGAATTTCCTTCTTATATCCAATCTAAACTTCCCCTGTTTAAGTTTGAACCCGTTACCCCTTGTCCTATCACTACAATCTAATGAAGAGTCCCATGCCCATGCACGCCCATGTTTCACAGAGCTCTCACCAGCCTACTCATGAGAGGTGAAAGACGCAGAGCTTAAATGTTCTTTGATGGGAAAAGGAACTGAATTCTGTTTCACATGCTGAGGGAATGTATTGACACCACTGCCCAAAGGAGTGCTTGAAAAACCATAGCTTGATGTATGGAGAAGATTAATGGCCTCTAGCTGAAAAGTAAATAATAATCTAAACTCGGATATAGTTTGTAGGTGAGGGGCAGTATGTTATGTGCACAAGAATATACTCTGCAAAATCTTTGTGAGTAATTATTTAAGTAATTTTAAGTATGGCTCTCAATTAAGTGGGAAGTTTCATCTTCTCTGCTAGAAGTCTTTCTAATATGTACAAATTATACCCAGAAAAATAGACACAGTTTTTGCCAGAATGATGAAGACTCATGTTTATCATGTTTCCCGCATCTTTAAAAAATGCGTACAACTAGAGGTGCCGTGCTAATTGCATCAGTAAATGTAGTGCTGTGATATTAGAGGCCGTAATCTGTGACTTAACACACAAACGTGCAAGTATTTGTGTTGCTGTATCAGAGCAGATACATTAGGCTACATGCTTCCTGTGCCATGGCTGTTGCAATTCTTCCATAGTTGTGATAGTGGAAATCACAGTATGCTAGAGATCGGAAGGGACCTCGAAAGGTCATCTAGTCCAATCCCCCTGCTGGAGCAGGAACACCTAGATAATAGAAATACATGTGCTTAAGTGATCTTGCTAGGCAGTTTTGCAGTAAAGTGTTTTAAAATACATACTGCATTTGTACATATAACCCCAAAGTTGATTTTTTATTAAAACTGAAGAGGACTGGAGCACAGGCATAAGTGATACTTGGTGATTGTCAATGCTGATTTTTATTTTATTTTCCCCTTGGTAAAATATTGCTATCACACTCCTAGCACTGCTTTACCCAGTCATAATTAATGCTTCCTGAGACAGTGTCTGGTCATGGGAAGGGGCTAACATAAGCCAGTTTTCAGAGGAGGAAAATAGCTATGTGAGCTGGTGCCGTTCTTGATTCATATAGGTGTAACTATTGTGACTGTGATGCAGTTGATAAGAGTATTCTGTAAAGCTCTTCATATTTGAAAATACATCTAACTGTGAAACTGCTTATCTTCTTCACGGAAACCAGTCTTCTTCCTTCTCAGGTGTCTACAGTGTGTAACTGAAAATTGGAGGAGGAGGGAGGGGAAAGTTTGATTGTGTTATCTACCCTAGTATTTTTATCTGTTGAAGATATACTGGGCTTTGGGAAAATGTTTGTTTCCAGTGTATTATATTTCAGTACCCACATCACTCCTACAGTGGAAGAATAAAGCTGGGACTTTTTTTATATTAAAAGAAAAAAGTTGCCTTCAGCTATTAGTTTTCCTGAATCCAAAGAGACGGGTGGGGTAGGATCAAAAATACTTACTTGATCAAAGTTATTGGCTCTGAAGGTATCCTTACCTATGTAAGAAAGATGAAAGGTGTTGTTTTTATTGCACGCTAGTAACAGTGTAATTTTGAACTAATTGGTGTTGAACTGCCAATCACCTAGGGGGAATGCAAATAGATACTCTTACAATTTCCTTTGAGGTACTGAAATCTTATGTCGGGGCTGGAAGAAAAACAGAATAATACCGTTAAATTGACCTTAAATGAGCTGCTTTGTGGCTTTCTTGGAGAATCCCTTCTAACTTTTCATTGCTAGTCCAAACAAGTCTCGTCTACCGATTTGATTTATTGGCTAGACAGCGCTGACATTGAACTTTGTGCATGTTTGAAATAAAGCTAATGTTATAGAGCTTTTAAGAATTTAGCTGCATCCTTTTCAAATACTCTTTTGACTGATCTGAAACTTTGCCTTCCCCTGTCGTAAAATATCCTTTTGTATAGCAATCTGTTGTTTGCTACTATTTTTAAGGAGGAACTACAACAGCACTTAAATATGATTCAGAATTTCTATTGAAGTATCTCTTAGGGACCTAATGTAATCGTGCTGACTTTGTTGAAAATACTCCCATGAATATCAGTGGTTTAAGCTCTAGATTTTTATATTGAGGGTTAGAAACAACATATATCTTCAATAAAGCATTTTCTCAGAGACCCTTAATTATGTAGAAGAAAATGTAAGATGCTAACTTGTATTTTTTTTGTCTTTTTCGACTGCTTCTATTAAAGGTTTTGAGACTTTTTCCACTGAGCTTTATAGCTAGCCTTTTTCTCAACTTGTAGTAATTAATCATTCTATAAAATAGATAGTTTAGACTTTTATCAGAGGGAATATATCAGCACAAAAGTTTATTTTTATAATGATAATTAGATAACTTTAAAGCCATCTTTTTTTCTGAAAGCCTGCGTATTATGATTACTCATTTTAAATACACAGAAGTTAAACTAACATTCATATTGCGGGTACTTCAAGTGAATAGAAATTGTTAGAAAACAGCATTTGTAGGTCTTACTGCTTGGCCCTGGGATTTGAGATATGTATATATGTGAAGCTCTGTAACTATTGCATCATACACATTATGTCACTGATATAAAAAATGAATGTTTAAGCATAGCACAGTGGTTGTGTTATGTGCAAAACTGTGTATGAAAGAAGCATGCAATTAAACATTTAATCAGTTTTTGAAACAGCTGGATGCCTCAGTGATAGTTTGTCTGCATTGAGAAAATCAGTGTGAATACTCTGAAATAAAAAGAATAAAAGCTTTTTTTTTTTAAGTTCAAGGAATACTCTTGTATATCTTGGTTTTCAGGTAGGACTTCACTGTGCTGTAATATGGAGAATGTGGGAGCTGGATGGGATGAGAAATTTACCTTCTTATCTTATACTGAGATTGCTGGATGGATGAGCAGACAACAGAAAATGAGGAAATAATGAGACTGGAATATAAAGTAGTGTTAGTCTGCCAGCAGCCTGAGTGCTGTTTAGTTCTTGTAGGTGAATGATGAAGATAGGAGACAAAAGCCTGGTTAAGACTAATAGACTCAGAAATTTATTAGAGTGTATTTAAAAAGGTACTGGGAGCATGGTGCTATTACAGGTTAGCCCACAGTCAAAGGTGAGGTCAAAGGTAGGGAATGGTCATGAGGTGAAGGGCATCAATGTAAATGGAGAAAGAAGATAACAGGACTTAAGGTTTATTAAGACCTTGAACTGTCGCTGCCACAGAGAGAGACTGTCTTGGAACAGACAGGGAAAATATGAGCCCTCTTAACGTATTGTCAGGTGAGATTATACAGAAAAAAAGGATGAAAGTAGGGCAAAAGGATAGTGTTTCTAACTTATGCTGGGAAGAATACTTCCAGTGTGTGATTGCAGAGGTTAAAGTATGATGAGATCAGAACTGAAACAGCAGATCTCTAGTCAGCATTCCAGAGCTGTATCATTACTTCAGCACTGTGCAGTGTTTGTGTAGGAACTGGAATCCAGGAGACAAACCACAGTGTGCCTGCACTGGAAAAATGGGTGGTCGGTAGAGAATGGGAGGCAGAAAAGGAAAAGGATGGAGAGGGAAAATGGGCTGGATTTCCTAGAGCCCATGTATAGATGAGAGGAAGAGTTGCTGAGCAGCTTTCAGGCTGAAAATCAGCAAGGGAGCGAGGAATTTATATTACAGTTGTCAGTTTTCAGCTGGTGCAGAGGAGAGTTTGAGTAGTTCCACAATAGTGATGTCTCTATGCTGTGAACTGTAAAAAAGAAAGTGAAAGAATGTGATCTCGCACGTGGTTGTGAGGAAGATCTGATTGTGGTTGTCAGAGGAAACTCTGTGGCACAGACAGACTGACCGAATTGAGTGAGCAGATATGAGCAGAAGACAAGTCAACAAGCAGGTCAGCAATATGGAAACTGAGTTTGCTGAGGAAAAAGGACTGGGGAAAGGGATGGAGTGGCACAAACTGAAACTGGAGGTCTAGCCACCAGCTTACTTAGGCAAAGCGGGCCATTGCTCCAAACTTTAAGTTGCTAAATAATAATAATGCACTTGAAGAACATTGAGAGATTCTTTACATCTTGATATATGAATCATCGAGAGATAGAAGAATGAAGCATTTGAGACATCCAGTTTCAGGCTGCCACACCATAACTGGGTTTTGGACCTGTGCGACAGTTCAGCGGTAGCTGTTCTTAGTTCTCGCAGCAGCCAGCCAACAGAATAGGCAGGGATCAAAGAAGGTCACATTGCAAAACCTCTGATGTGTTGAACTCTTCTGGTTAGACAGACTTAGAGGTTTCTCGACTAAGCCTCTGAGTTTTGAAAAGTAGTTGAAGAGTCTCAAACACCTGCAGTTTAAAGCCACAAGTGTTCATGTGATGCTCCCTAAATCTGAATTGTCAGAGTGTCTTACAGTACTACAGTTAGTCTCATCCAAAAGAAAATTCTGTCTTCTGTGTTAATAGGTATATCTTCCATGGTAGAATACCAGGCAGCAGAGTTGGAACGGGAACTTGAAAAGGTGAAAAGCAGGAAAACAAATCTAGGTAATAACACTTTTTCCCCCTACTGTTTCATGTGGATTACGGTTTAATAAGTGACCTTAAGATGTTGTGTTTAGCTTGTAGCAGTCACTTGATTGATTCCACTTTGTTCTTAACGAAATTTGTGTATTTGCAACCCTTTCAAATCATCATAGTTTCTACAGTTACATTACATGGAATCATTACACCCCTCTAACAAACAAATTGATGTAGGGAGTCTGAATTGAATCTTACTTTTAACGTAACCTTAGAAAAATTGTAACATATTCACTTCCTTGCATGGAGCTCAATAACATGTTTTTTTCATACTTGTAATGATACACTTATGATTATTTGAAATAATCTAAGACATTACTTTCCTCTGTTTCTGAATTACTTGTATAAAAGTCAGGTTGTTTTTAAGAACAGTAAAATAATTCTTAGCAGGTTTCTGTCTTTTAAAACTGAAAAGTGATACTTCTGGTAATGGCAGTCGCTTGACAGGAGTCTCCTTATTTATTCAAAGGTTTGCATTATTTGGTGGGATAACTTAAGACTGGGAAGAAAAAGTTGGGTTTTCTTTTTAGATGTACTAGTGATGTGCAGTGAGTTAGTCTTGTCTGTCTTGCCTTATGTTGTAAGAGGAAAATACTGTTTAAATATTTAAAATTATCTTCTGTCCCTTTAGGTTGTACTAGAATGTACATGTAATCAGCATAATTTAACATTAGGTATATTTTAACCTTTGCAGAACTGCTGTATGCAGGGGGAGAGGGGGGGGAAGTGCTATGGTAAAACATGCCTGTAAACAAGAAAAAAAAAATCTGTCTCTGCCCAGCCTTTCTCTAAAGAGGCTTCATGTTTTTGGCATTGCTTTGTACAGCTCTTCAGGGTGGGTATTTTTATGAACTGGTTGGTGTCAGTTCAAGATAAGATTACTTTTCTTAACTGTAGTTACAGCAAGTGCTTATACAGAGCTGAATGATTTTTATGTGTGTTATTCCAAGGTGATGTACAGTATTAAGCTTCTGTGTTTTCTCCTCTGAACAGAACGGAGGAAAAAAGCTTCTGCTTGGGAAAGGAATTTAGTCTATCCAGCTGTTATGATACTGCTACTGATTGAGACAGTAAGAATTTCTGCCTTTTTTTCCTTTTTTCCCCAATGAAAAGTATGAAGAATTCTGTGTCATCTGGGAGGATAGTTTTGAAATTGAATGATGTGTGTTTAAACAACAAACCTGATGTTCTTCTCTTGAACCATTTTTTTAAAGAAAACCATTAACATTACAAAATCTGGTGGGGATAAATGTATGCATTTTAAAAATGTAGAGTACTTTTAAATAACAAGACTATTTCTGCCTCCTTACAGTCCATCTCAGTCCTCTTAGTTGCTCTCAACATTCTTTACCTGTTGGTTGATGAGACTGCAATGCCAAAGGGATCAGGGGTAAAGTAAACTTTATGTATGTTTTTCATAACTTTAGTAAAGCTTTGGAGCCCTTAGAAAGGTGCACGTGAGAACTTCTGCTTTAATAACATGGAAACAAATGAGTCTCCGCCTTGACTTTGCTTCTAGGTTTTGTCCCTGTGCGCACATAAACGTTTGTTACATGACATGTTATAGTGTGTTCTTGATAAAACTAGTCCAGAATCTTAGTGAAGATACAGTGATTCACTAAAGTAAATCATTAATCTGGAGTTGCATTTTCTTCACGTTTCCTACTTTTTTGTGAACAAGAAATGTTCAATTTAAGAAGCTATATTAAAAACCAATACAAAAATCTTATCTTGGTTTGTGTTCCACTTAAAATACGACATTTTCACATCTTTTATTATAAAAGTCCTTGAAGAAAGTCAAGAACAGCACACTGAGGAGTTGTAGTCTCTTTAATCATGAAGATTTTTGTATTAACTTAGTAATGCTTTTCCTTGTGTATCACTGTATGTGAGCTTGCAGAGCTCTATACAAGGTTTCTAGTGGTGATGGCCACTCTGCCTGTGTATTGTGAACAACTAGAAGTGCTACCTTTTGAAACCATTTATTTCAGTTTCCAAAATAATGGGGTAGGTATGGAATGTAGCATGGTGGGATGCCATATGCATAAAATATGAATCACTGTACCTTCTGTCTTAGTGATACATTTCACTCAGGTTTGAAAGCTGGCTGATGCCATTGCATAGGATGGGAGACTCGAAGGTCAGAACATCAAAATGCCCCTTAAACACTGAATTGAGAAATGACTACTTCATGTAAGGCGTTAGGTTTTTTGGTCCTGGTAAAAGTTAACTTTATGACACAGTTGCATGTATCGTACTAAATTATGCAAAATACTTTTCTCCTTATAGGGGCCTGGAATAGGAAATGCCTCCCTGTCCACCTTTGGTTTTGTGGGAGCAGCACTTGAAATCATTTTGATTTTGTATCCTTTCTTGAAGAATTCTGTCTGTTAACAAGTATTCTGTCCAGTTTTCTGGGACATTGATAATTTACTCAGACACTTGTGTGGGGAGATACAGACCAGTCCTTCTCAAGCACTCAAGCATGTTTTTGGTTTTTGTTGGTGGGTTTTTTTTTTTTGTGTGTGTGTGGTTTTCTTTTTTTTCCCCTTTGCTTCTTAAGACTTTTAGGAGTCTGCTGAGAACTTGAGTGAAACTTGCATTCCTTGGCGGTCCCTTTTTCCTTGATTCTCACAGCTATCTTATGGTGTCCTCTGTCGTCGGCTTCTACAGTCTTCGGTTTTTTGAGAATTTTACTCCCAGGAAGGATGATACAACTATGACAAAGGTAAGGTAAAGTCTGCGGTGGTGATGGCCCCTTCTCTTTCTTTCCACCCAAGGCAAACTGACTCTTTTAGTTAGTAATTACCCTGAATGGCTCATTTGCGGTGATCAGTATTTGTTTGTAAGCTGGGTAAACACAAACTGGAAGATTTTCAAAATGCTGAATGAGTGGGAAAAAGGATGTGCTCTGTTTAGTTTGGATGGCATCCATTCACTTGTAAAAAGCTGGGAATAGCAGAGCTTGTTAACTAGCTATAGAAAAGCTAGTGAAAGAACTTTGTTCAAAGGAAGCGTATTGCTAATGAGTAACTTTGATTGTGCTAACTGTACTTCAGGGAGCTTGTTTGAAATCCGAAGAACTTGGTTGCTAGAAGTAATACAGACAAAGTAATTTAAATTTGAATAATTAAACTAAGACTGAGGAGGTATATTCAGGAACATTTTGCAGTCTGAGACTAATTTGACTTTCTACAATTTAGCACTGGCTTCAGAATAACAAGTGCTGTTACCTAATGCAGAGGAACATGGTTAGTTTTTTGGTAGAATATTCCCACAACTGACAAGGAGAGGTGTTCAGTAACCAAGAACGGATGATGAATTTAATTCTTTTTTCTTCGTGTTTCATTGTTTGTTTGTTGTTTGTGTGTTTTTAAAGTAGTGTATAGACATTTTTACCATAAACGGCCGGAAGTGAGAAAGTAGATAAACACACAGAATGGTTATAGTAGATAATAGGGAGCTGGAATATCCTTAACGTTTTCTACTAATTGTTTACAGTACAAGGAATAGTGTGGAAATAAACAGTGAATGCAGGAATGTCTGCCTACTTTCAAGAAGGTTTTGGGTTTTATTTAATTATTTTTTGTTTTATTTTAAATTCTGATGGAGCTGAAGAAAGTGATCTCTTGTGAGAGAAAGTTTCAATTACTCTTTATAAAGGCTTTACAAAAACTGGAGTAAAATCTAACAGCTGTGAATTTTTTCCTTCTGTTTAAAGTAGTCAACAGGCATTCAATTGAAAGGAAGCTCTTTGTTGTAATTTTTTAAATAATGCTAATCCTGCAAGCAGTTACCTACAAAGCTTAAGCTGATGTATCAGTCATCTATTCTAAGCCTGTGGAATGGGTCTTTTATCAAAAGGTTTCAGGAATTAACTAAACAGTTGATGCTTTGCAACATGGTAGTCTTGAATTATTTTAAATCTAAGTATGATTAAAAGCAAGTGATTACATATTTGATTTTTTTTACCTCATCCCTTGGGTCATCTTCATCTTGTATAACACCATATGGAGAAGTGTGGCAGAAGTGAGCAGGACTAACAATATCTTACTGTAAATTGCTTTAGGTTCGGTTTAAAGGGTGTAACTTTCAGGAATTCTTCTTTCTTATCTTGACCACTGTGTTTCTTCAGCAATCCCATGGCTAATTTAAATGTTTGTCATTTTTAAACAGATCATTGGAAACTGTGTCTCAATCTTGGTGCTGAGCTCTGCTTTGCCAGTGATGTCAAGAACATTGGGTAAGTGAAGTGGAAGTACAACACCTTGTAATAAAGGATGTTTAATAGAGTTAACAAAACCAAAGACGACCCCATAGACAGGGCATGTATGTGTGGCCTTTTCTACACCAACATGAGCTGTTGAGCATGCATTTTATGTACATAAACTGCAGTATATACATTCTAAAAAAAGATACTGAGCATTTTTTACAGAATATACTCTTTTAAAAAGGTAGGTTAGGTTTTTAAACTTCTGGTGGGAAGAACTGATATGTAGACTGCTTGATTAGGGCAGTATAAAATAGTTTCATGTTCACTGTGACATTATAGTGCTCAGTTTTCATGGGGAAAAAAACCCAAACAAAGCAACCAAACATTTGGGGATTTCAGGTTTAAAATTTGAGATAATGTTGAGTGTAAATGTCGTCTTAAGTACAGTTAATACTGTAATTTCACCGAAGTTTTTTATCAGCAATGATACCAGGCTACTTTCATTTTTCCTAAAATAGCCTGCTTGCATTCTTTGTTACTTCAGTTTTCAAATATAAAAATTTGGAGTCCAGCATAGTAGAACCGAAGAAGTTCTGATTTTATAGTTAGGAACTGGCAATAGTGTTTGAAGTTTAACTGTTTGGAAAGACAAGGTGCTTTGTATCTTCACTTTGTTTAGTTAGGTAATCTTCAACTTGATTTCTTGAAGTTAGGTTGCAAGCTTATCACATGTTTAAGTAGTGTAGAATACTTTCAGGTAATGTGAATTTCATTTGGAACAGTAAATGAAATAAAACAAAAATCTACACAACAGGCTGTATGAATCTTTAGTACAAGTTTAGGAGTTTAAGCTCAGATCAGTTTAAGCCCACAGATAGTAATGTGTACCACGTGGTTCTGTAGTTCATCTTATTTTCAACCAGAATACTGTCAAATCAAGAGTAGTTAATATTTTCTGATAAGTTATACTGTACATCTTCATGCTGCATATGTCTATAGATGAGTTTTATTAGATTTACTAGGTCATTTCTATAACAAACAAAAACCCCACCCCTAATGCTCTTCGGAGAGTTGAATCTGAAAATACACATTATAGAACTCATGTTTTAAAAATCTGTAGGAAAACTTCACAAACGGAAAAGAGCAATTCAAGTACTTAAAATAGTGCATTTTTAAAGTATAGCCAGTATGATAAAAGTTCTTACAAGTAAAAAAATTCTAGCACTTAAGAGCAAGATTCTATGTTGAAAAATTAGTGATTTAGAACAGAATTTTAACATTAGTATCGTGTCCACTAAGTTACTGCATTCATCACTTATTTAAAGGGAGATAATTGTTAATGATCTGCGAGATTAACAGTTGATAATAAATGGATTCTGTGGAAGTAAGTATACATGCTGGGTGCATTGTTGTCTCATAGGAAACAGATTAATGGTAAAACTCACTTGAAAAAAAGACTAACAAATGAAATTCCTGAATAGTTTGCCATAGAGATAAATAAAGGAAGAAAAAAGATGGAACAATTAACGCACAGCTAACAAATGCACAGTCACAGCTGTCCAAACAGGATTAATAGAGTGTATTAGAGTACAGTGAGTCATGTGGCGCTTTGCAAAAATATCAGTGTGTTGCGCTACATGCTACCGCCCTGTGGCATTGAATAGATGAAAAGAAATAAATATGTTAAGCAGATTCATAGCCTTTTCACGTTATTAAAAAAGCAAGTTTCTAGACTATATGGGAAAGATTAGACTTCTTCATTATGAGAAAGGTAAAAAAGCAGATGTTATCTAACACATACTGACGTTTTTCAAGTTTTAAAAATGGAAATAGAATTTTGTACAAGTTTGCAAGTTTTACATAACATTTGTATTGGATATGTAGATGGTGCAGGTCTCTAATAATTCTTATAGAACTCCAGGAAAGTTTTTACTCAAATAAGTTAACGCATTTTTTAGCCTTTTAATAGTCCTCCTTCAGAAACATTTCACACCAGCACCATATTGCTAACCGCTGAGAATCAAACTGGAAGCAGGGCACTGTACAGAAAACAGAAACAAGGAGTTGTGCAAACAAAATTGAAATTTCTAATATACAGAGTTTTCCCAGAATTCCACTCAAGTATTATGGTTAAAGTAAACAGTGATTTTGAACTTATTTGCATGTAAAATCTAAAAACATAGTTGTTGTTTGGTTTTTTTTTTAACCTAAATAATTCTTTAATAGTTTTTTTGGTAAATTGATGCCAGCTTTCTTGGGTATCTATTTGTGTCCACTAGAGCTTTTGCTTTCTGTTCAGCTACTGAATAATTTTTCAAATTGCAGTCTTGTAAATTCTTTTCTTTGTGGGCTGCATAGATACTTCTTCTATCAGAAAGTCACTGAAAGCTTTTTAATCCTTTTCTCCCACAGATTTACAAAATGATACTGTCAGATCTTTTCTAACAAGCAGTGACTTTATTTTAACAGAAAAATGTAATTAATGAGCTATATTTTTCCCACCTGTTCTAATAGAAGTGTCAGGCTTAATTTTTGTTTGTCCTTTACAACGCCTGCTCTATTGCTGGATATTCTTTTGAACCTCGTTGTGGCAAGGAGTATTACTTCTTTCCCAGAGAACTCTTCACCCAGTGCTGTACCTGTTTTGTTTTTTTTCCTTTAAGGGTCTTGAAGACTCTACATTCAAACCTGACTTTCTCAATTTTCCTGTAGCTCTATAGTCTGATGAAAACACAGCTGCTTTTGAGAATGTTAAGGGCACTGTTTTCCTTCACGTGTGAAAGCAGCTTTGTGTTTATTGTCCTTCATCCGTTTACCAGTTAATTCAGTCAGCTGGTTTCTTCATTTTGTGCTAAGACCTTCTGTGCTTTTTTGATATTTCTCCCTGCTTCTCTTGCTAGTTTGAGCAGCTTCAGTGACATTTTTCTTTTTCTTTATCCTGCTTTTCATTTTCTTAATTTTTAACATGTTTTTCTTAGATGTCAAGTTTGATTCCCATGTTCTTAATATAAATCACTGATGCTGAGTACAAGGAGCGTTTGTATCTCTTACTATTGTGATAGCTGGCTCTAAGTCTTGGGTATCGAGCTACAATGAGATTCAGAAGTGCCGGGTTTACCCTTGAGAGGAGGATAACTCACCCTTAATTCTGCCTTTTCTCATTTATTATCACCGTTTAAGTCATGGTTCTTCAAAGCCCCCAAACCTTTTCAAAATAGGATGATAGGAAACTCACTTCCAGGAATTTCTGAGCCAGGTTATTTTCTGATTGCCTAGTTTTCTGCTGCTATTTCAGCTCTGGGGTGAGGAAAGCTTCCTTCCTTTTCACTGTCGGTCTCAACTGTGAGAGCATGCATCAACATCGTCTGTGCAAATCTGTTTGGGGAATATAGTGGCTCATCAATCCTAGACAACTGTTGTTGGGGTATCATCTCGGTATTCTGCCCTTTATTCAGTGCAGTCCTGATGTAGGCCTAACAGAGGAACAACTGTCTTCCTCTTCTGCCTTCTGGGATGCATGCTGCAGCTCATAAACACTTCCACATTTTGGAAGAATTTTGCTCACTTAGCTGTAGTGATTGACTAGCCTTTGATCAGCACTAAAGCGCAGGCATCAGTGTTACGAGGTCCACTGTGAACACCTGTCAGCCCTGTCTTTCAGCCAGACTCTTTTCCTTCTGTGTAAATGCTCACTGGCTGTGGTGGTGGGTAGGCCTAGGAGAAAAACTGCAGTTGGAAAGATGTCTTTGAACTTTGGTTTCAAAAGCAGTGGCTCAAAAAAAAACCAAAACAAGCACTTACGAAGTGTTTGCTGTAAGATGTTGTGGCTCTAATGGAAAGGCATTTTGCTACCTGTATTTTTAATAAAGAAAGCCTGTGGTGCATTTAATCCTTTTCTGGAATAGAACTTGGATTTCATAGGAACTGAGATTTCAAGCAGTTTTCATACTACTACTGATATTTTTCTTTCCTAGTTATATTTATTGAAGTTAAAGAAGCAGAATTCTTATCTAAATAGACAATTTACTTAAAATCACATTGTTCAAGCATTTCACTAGAAAACTTAAACACTTTGATAAGTGTGTCTTACAGTTTTATATTGGTCAATGAAATGGAAAATGACCTTGAGAACATTGTCTTTTGTGTTCAACCATGTGTCTGCTGTAAGTAGTGTGTTGTCTGAATTGTGCATCCATATGTAAAAAATGTTACAGTGATGTTTTTGTGTTTCTTAACAAATGTGATCAAGAATTTGATGTGAACCTTAAATGCAATTTTAACAGGAATCACCAGATTTGATCTGCTCGGAGACTTCGGAAGGTTTAACTGGCTGGGAAACTTCTATATTGTATTATCTTACAACTTGCTCTTTGCTATCATGACAACATTATGTCTGGTCAGAAAGTTCACTTCTGCTGTGCGAGAAGAGCTCCTGAAGGCATTAGGTAATATAGCATTGAAAATGTAGTTTGTACTTGGAACTTTTCCTTTTTCCAGTGTTTGATACCTTGATGTGCTACAGCTAAGTTTCTGTTACAACTGATGGAGGAGTTTCTTTTGGTGGAAGTTTCTGTAACTTAAGGTGTGAGAAAGCATAGCTTTGTGGTATTTTTTAGAGTTGAGAGCTAACGTACAGTGTTGATATTAATGATGTGCCCATATACTTCCTGGTCTGCAGTTAGATTATCAGACTTTAGAGAGCACAGAAACATTCCAGTTGCTACCCAGGAATTATTTGGAAATGCAACTTCCACTTACGTGTGGGTTCGCTGTTTTCTTTTGTGTTTAAAGCAATTTATTCCCTAAAAATAGTTCAGTGGCAGTCTGAGCTGCCTTGTTGTGATGCCTTTTTTGAGCACTAACTGTTCAGAAAATCTTTCTACAGAATATACAGAATTAGTAACTGATTGAGTAAAACCTGTGCTTGATATCATGAAAATTTAGATCAAATTGCGCATTCATTGTTTTTTTGCCATAGAAGAAAACTTGAAATGTATTTCATATTAAGAGGATAAAATGTACATATTTAGCAATCGTGATTTTACTACATCTTATCTTTGGTGATTAATGAAGCTCCTATCTCTATAGAACCCTGGAATAGTATTTGCTGAAATTGAAACGACTAAGGGTGAAACTTCAGTGTTATTTATAACTGTGGATTCAGTTTGTAGTGTCTAAAATGTTAGTTTGTTCATTTTCACCAATTATTGCTTTCCACAGTTGCAACCCTGGTAAACAAAATCCAAGCATTTTCCTAGAATGCACTTCTACCGGTGGCAATTAAGTTAAAATCAGACATACTAAATAGGGAAATACAAAATGACTGATAGCGTAGGATTAAAACAAGCTACTCTGTGATTTTTGATGTTGAGTTTTGAAGCTCCAGGGGAACGGATTAGTGGACCAGGGCCGTGTAAATCTCTCCATTGATTTTTATGCTGAAAATGTTTTCAGAGAAGTTCCATTGTTGATTGAGACAGATATATGATGCAAGTATGATGTATTTGACATTATCCCGCAGCTTTTAGTTAAGGTTATTTTATGAGAAGACCTTGATTCATCTCTTTCAGTTGACTTGCATAATCCTAATTTTTTTTTGGGCAACTGTTTTGACTGTAAAAGGTTTACTTTGTATAATGTAATGGCTGTTGCAGAGCTCTGAAGGAAATAAATTAACATCAGTCAGCATGGGCTTATAGCAACAGGTCTGGTAAAACTTTTAAATCATTTGCTTTAAGAAAGAAACTTTAAAGATTTATCTTGATAATTCATGGCACATCACTGTATTAAATATACAGTGTTTAGTTAAAAAATCTAGGCAAATTAACAAACTTCAAAATGCAGACATAGTAGGATAATGGTCACTGGATAGCACCACTCTAAGGGATTTTTTTAGGGATGCTTTTGGCTGCTTGCTGTCACATATTATGTGATTTTGTGTAAATATTGTGATCAAAATGGAAAAGTAATTGTAAAAGGTTTACATTTGACATAAACAGGAAGTTATAAATCCTGAGGAGTGCAGGTTTCCTGACACAAACTGGGTTTGTTTTCAATGCTGTGCATAACAAACAGTGTCTATTAAGGAATGTTACATGGAACTTGAAGAATGAGAACCAAAATTTGTGTGCTTATTTCTCCCACACATTGGGAACTGTGATGCTGAGGATTAGAGGTTGGTGGAACGTCATAGTTAATTATTGGAAGTTAACATCCCGCTGCCTGTGACCAGAAGAGTTCATGTAATATTGGGACTTACAAGTAATACAATACTGAGGAGTGTTGTTTGTTTGTTTTGAGTAGTGCAGTCAATTTTGGAATTCCAGTGATGCAAGAAATTTAGTTTGGTACATTATGGTACTTCAGCAAGACGTTCTGTATAGTCTGTGCTAAACAAATAAGAAGCTCTTTCCATTTTTGATCCTTAGCGACTTGATAGGAGACTTCAGAGAGAAACCGTAGCAAGCAAGGAAGGACTGACATTATGCCTCTTGTGAATAAAATATGGCTGAATGTACCATCTTTCCCCACCTTCCTCCAAAAAAAGAGCACTTTAACTACTTTCCTGGAGCAGGATGGGAGACCTTAATTAGCACTTGTAGTAAAGAATGGTGCAATAAGAATAAATGGCTGGAAATAGAGATAAATTGGTAATAATGTAGGCCTAAAAATATTATTAGACATATAAACAGTTTGGAGAAATGATGAGGTCATCACCAGTGATCTGAAGATCAGTGGATGCTTTTCAGAAAGCAGCTATACTTTAAAAGAAATATTCTTAGGTAATTATGTTGTTCTTTGTAAATTGTCAGAGTAGAATATTGCAAGTCTTTCTCAGTTCTGAACATCAGATTTAAGCAATGTGAAGTTAGGCCTCTCTCCCTTCCATGCTTGTCAGTTGTGATGGACTTTTTTCACTTAAAATGCAACTGAGGGCATACCCCAGAAGTGATTCTTACCAGAGCTATAATCTGTTCTGGTCTTTAGCAAAAGTCCTTATCACAAAGTAGAATTTGGGTTGTATGCATTCTTCTGAATACCTGTCTGCATGAAACATGGGAGAATCAGTTTTTTCTCATTGTGCAATGTTTTGCAGGATTGGATAAACTTCATCTATCAAATAATCCAAGAGACTCGGAGACAAAGCCATCTGCAAATGGGCATCAGAAAACACTGTGATTAACAATCGCCTGCAATCAACAAAGCTGAAAACATCAACCTCATGGCATTCCTGTCATCTCATCAGCATTTTTATATTGATTTTTATTTGTTGATAATTTGGGTCCAACCTAAGTCTCATTTTTTGTTGCTGTATGCTTTTGAAAAAGTTAGATATATCAGATTCTTCTGTTTCCAGTGAACTTTTGGTCTGCTTGTTTATTTCCTCGTAAGTTAATGCAGGAGGTGCCTTGAAGACTGGAAGCTGAAGAGAATAAGTCATTCCTTTTTGTTTGTTGAAAGTCTCACATCTTTAGAACAAACCTGCTACCATTTGGATGCATAGTACCTCCTGTGTTATACAGACACAGCTATAGCGAATAACTCTGGGACTTGGTTAAAAAAAAAAGCAGCAAAAAGGGTACACTTCGAGCCCACTATGACCCTTACTGGAAATGTAAACTACCTGGAGTAGGTATCCTTGGCATTAGATAAACAGTTCCACTAAGAACATGTTAAAAATAGCAGTAATGTGTAGAGATCACAGTCCTTTCACGCTGGATATAGCAGGCTGTTCACAGCCGAATGTCACGGAGCTTTCTTGGAAGGCCAGCGTTTTCAGCTTTCTGAACTTAGCTAGAGACACCAGGTTGCTTTAGTGGTAGTCAGACAATGTCTTATTAAAATACAAGATGAAAATTAACTTCAGTGTTAAATCTGAGCCAAGTATGCTTTGTAAAAAGCTGCCTAGACCCCCTGTCACAGCTCTTACAGTTCTGTAAGCTATCATGCCAGGGAGGTCACTTCCCTACCAAGTACATCCCTGTAAAATTCTTTATGAACTACTGTGTATAAGCAGTACTTGTAATCAATGCAAGTAGCACAGGCCAAGGAGGCTGCGGTTGCAGTTTTTTATAGTCTTCTTTCATTTGAAGTAAATTATTTCTCTGAATTTGTACTATAGTTACCAGGATTTCTGTTCAGTGGCGTAATCCAGTATCTTTCAGTAGCCTGTTTTTTTTTTAATGTACACATGAACGTGTATATAGGCCTATATGTGTAGATATCTTAAATTCTAAGCTTCTAGAGATAGCGTAGGTGGCTTGGTAAGTAAAACTTGTGTGTTTAATCTTGGTAGTTGAATTTCTGCAGTGTTACAGTTTAACTGCTCAGAGGCCTTAGATTCAGGCCTTAGATTCAGGATGGCATTGGTGGGTGGTTACATCCCTTTTCTTAGCATTACTGCAGCCTTAGGAATTCCTCAAGCAGTTTGTATTAAAAAAGCTCACCAACCAAAACGCAAATAAGTATTCAAAATCTGGTTACGCTTTTGTGCTGCTCTGCCACAGGTTATCTTTAAACAGGTTGGAACGGGGACACCTTCAGTGTAACAAGTCAGATACCGTTCCTGTTGATTCCCCATTTCCGTAAAACAAGTATGTCTGTAGCCTGAGGTCTTACATGTGGTGAGGTGGTGATGACTAGCTCTCCAGTGTGGTTCTGAAATAAGATCAACCTTGTGTCAGAAACCCTTTGGCTGTTTGCGTGAGGTGACTGCTCTGGGCTGTAGAACTTACTGCTGGGTGTGTGAATGTGAGCTTTTTTTTTGTTCCCTAGAGTGCTTCAAAAATCAAGCTCCAGTATGCATGAGGGTTTCTCATTTTTGCAGCTGCCTTTTCTGACTGATACTGGGGCACAATGTAAATATTTCTGTAGTAAATATGATGCTAGAGAGTTATTTTTTTGTGTGTGTGATTAGTATAAATTCAAGGCTTATCAAACTGACTATTGATGTGTTGTACTGAGTCTTGGAAGACAAAGTAAAACTTGATTTCATTAAGATTTACAAGCATCTTTTCTGTTGTTTGAGTTTAATGCTGACGTTTTAGCGAGGAATCTATTGAGTCAAAGTTCTGCAACCTAGAACAGGGAGCTGTGATTAAAGTTGTTTTAAAACGTGTTTACATTTGAAATATTGGGAGATCTATTTTTTAGGGGCATCATTCAGGTATCCTCAGAGCTTGTAGCCTTACTTATTAGCATTATAGTTAAAAATAACTGAAATGTATCCACTTGTCCATGCAAGAGATTGTGTGACCAAAATTGTCTTTGTGTTTTACCAGGGCTGGTGAATTGCGGTGTGTGAGGCTAGTTAGCATTATTAAAACATTTCTATGGCAGCTTTTAAGACTGTTATATAAATACAGTCTGTGAAACTGGGGAAATGAATTTTAAGGAATAAGTTTAGGGAGTGTGAACCAGCATAAGTCTTGCTCTTTGTGCTTTTGGAGAGATGTTTGTCCTCACATCAGTGACCCAAGAACACAGGAAAAGATGAGATTGAGGTATGTGTGGTTTCTGAAAGTGAGTTGGGCAGTTACGTAGAGCAGAGACAGTTCCTGCTGAGAAACACACAAGTTTCAGGCAAGAATTCAACACTCTCTTTCAAAACAAACATTACAACCTTGCCTTTCCACCCCTTCTGCTGGTTTCTGCAATAGGAGAGATGTGTGGATTACGGCTGTGTTAGTAAAGATTACACTGAAACCTGAAGGGTGGTTTAAATGCTGTGTGGTTTCAAGTAATTCAGAAATACCCTGTGCAACTACTGACAGTGTTTTGTTTTAAAACTAGCTGTTCGTATTGTGACACTGTCCACATTAAAATATGCCTTCTGCCTGGAAAAATGGCATGCTTATGCACAGCTTCTTTACAGATAAAATGCTACAAATATACTACGTGTAAGATACAGATCACTGTATACTTTTCACAGAAGCATACGGTCACTTAAATACAAGCAACTGGTAATTCATTAATGGATATTGACGATACATTCCTAGTATTTTGACTCATGTAGAGTCAGGTGGTCTATACCTTCAAGGTATATACAGCTGATCTTAGTAACATTAACATCTGCCTCACTTCTTATGAGGCAAAAAGCACATAAATGCTTCCATCTTCAACTAGATACCACACAAGACCAAAAAATAGATGTAAACTAAGTGTTTTAAGTTAGCTGCTTCTTGGCTTTATTCCGTATTGGTAGCACAATATTAAATGCAGTGGCAGAACTCTAATAGTGTGGGATTTCGAAGCATAAAGCACACAGGCTTATCACTTTAAGCTAAAAAATAATAGTGTTGGTTACTGTACAAGTAACAGTTTTTTGCAGTCATAGGAAGCTTTGTTTACTGTCTGTAATGTGGTGTTTATCTTTGGCTGTGTTCCTCTGAGACCTTTTACCCTGTTGACTCTTTTAGCATGATAGAAATTAAAGGATTTGACAAGTTGCTTTCCTTGTCTGGTTCCAAAGTACCACATCGAGAACTGCAGAAGAATGGCTATGTGCTGTGGTCTGGTCCAGTCCGTGCAGACAGAGCTTGTGCAGCCCTGTGCTTGATGGGGTGAGCACATGAGAGGATGCTGAGGAGTGCCCCTTCTCCAGTCTGTCACCAGGAGTGATGAGAGTGAAGGAGCTGCAGCCCTCATGTCCCACCAGAACTCTACTGCTTGCTCGTACAGCTCTGCAGCAGCTTCACATGTGCCCACTGTCATGTAGTAAAGGCAAGATGGCCCTTCTCTTAAAAGAATCTACAATCTAAATTAGAAAGGAATAAGGTAGAAACAAAGAACAATTGGCATCTTCATGCATGTGACTTGCCTTGAATTTTCTAAGAATGTTGTAGGTTATTTTCCTTTCTTTTATCCTCCCCTTCCAGAAGTGGGATGGGCTCAGGTGGTGTACATATATACAGCAACCGAGCCTTATGCTCAGTCTACTGGCATCTCTCATTTTGAAACACCAAATCCAGGAAGACAGTTAAATTCTTTTGCTTTCACATACATTCTAGTTTTTAAAATAGCAATTCTTAAAATCTTGGTGAAGTCACTGGGGCAGAAACAATACACTAAGGCCATGTTAATAACCTCTTTAAAACGAAATGGGCTTAGTTTTGTTAAAAAAAAAAGCATTGATGTGATCCTTAAAGACTTTAAGGAAGTAAAATCCCCTGCCCTCTGGTGTTAGTGGGTTTTTATGCCTTTTTTTTTAGTGTCTTTTAGTGCTGACTTCAGACAATATTCCATACACTAAGTTCCCTCCCCAGCCTGTATGTTTCAGGAGCTGAAATCTTGAGCTCTTGAATATTGGATTTACTGTTGGTAACTGGCAAGTTATTTCAGTCACATTAAGAGCTTTTGAACTTTACGAAAACGCTGCTTTGGAATTCATCCCATTCAGGGAGAGCAGTCTAATCTACTGGCCCTCACCCAGGTGGTGATAACGTCTGCCTCCTTTTTCTGCCTTGCCCAGCACTCTTGCTTATGGCAACTGGTCTCTGACATTGTCGTAAGAAGTTGCGATGCGCCTTCTCTGTTCAGGGTGTGAGGACATGAGTCCCGTGGCTTGTCCATCTGCCACATGCAGGTCTAGCTGCTGAATTGGGTTACTTTGGGGATTACAGGCCCAGGATTTCCAGGTGGTAGACATTCATGTGCTTGAACTTTTTGCTTTCAGCTCATTTTTGCTGGGACTGAAAAGTCATCGCAGACTTTCTGGGTGTACATTTCTGTGCAGGCCATTTCGGGGAGAGGTGTGAGGGGGCAAATGAGATGGAGCTCGTTTGTATAGACAGTTTTATTTCCATTCTTTTTATAGTCAAGCTTTACAATTCCATTAAAAATACACTTAAAATCCTTAAGTTCATGAAATTCAGTAACTGCTGAAACTTTTTCTCAACCTGGTCCTAATTCTTTGCTTGCTTTCCTCTTTTATGTGTTCAAGACATTCAGTGTATTATTTGGTGGCTTTGATGTTAAGAGCAGGTCTTGATCTAGGCAAAACATGAAATACCAGACCAAGAAGAATTTACATAGATCTGATGTAGAATGTGTGAGAAGACCACTTCAAGTGGGAAGCTTTTTTGAACTGTTTCACAGTTGAAGCACCCAAACCTTTTCCTCCCAAGAGAAAGAAGACATGTATCATTAAGATAGGAAAATTAATTCTGTGTTCTCTAAAATGCCAGTAATTCACCAACGCTGTAAAGAACTTCATAGATTCCTAAAATCCATTCTGTGATTCAGAGTGCAACAGCATCCTTGACTTTATAGAAGCCTGTGAACTTTTGAGAATAGCTCTGTCTTGGCAGCAGAGAACCTGAGGATGCTTTCTAATTCTATGTTAGTTACCACATTTTTCTAAGTAACTATTTCAGTTGCATTTATTGCTCATTGTTTGTTTGTTTTGTTTAAATATACATAACATTAAATGTTCTAACAAATACAGGAGGTGACTTCAAACAGTCAAAAGGATAGCATCAGGAATATCCTGTAAATGTTGACAATCCTGACCTGCCCAGTTCTAAGCTATTTAAAAGCTGTGTCTGTTTGAAGGTCTTACATCGGCATAGAAATAAGGAAATCCCAGTTCTTTAAGGCTTGACGAGGTACTGGTGAGATACCTGACTTTGTTCCTTTGTACCTAATGAGCACTTTGGAATACTGCTTCTGCATTGTTTCTAAATGTTTGCTGTATATTAACCTCAAGTTGGTGTTGCTTCCACCCCCATTCCATTAAGTTTTATAGTCGGTATCACTGGAGGAAGCTCCTTTAATGAATAGGCTTTGTTTCGCATTCCTTGCGTCTTCCGTAGATACCAGCTACTGAAGTATAGGGGCATTTGCTTGTATTTTAATGTATTTCTTTTCCCACAGAGTCCATACAGAGACATTCCTTAGTTAGAAATGTTCTTCCACGGTGAAAATGTTCGTATTTATTCGTTTGTACTTGATCTCTTTTTAACCACTAGATTTCACTAAAACAATCCTGTCATTAGAGTGGATTTTCTAACAAGTTACCAAGAGCTCATCTAAGTTTGAATTAGGAGGGAGATGAAAACGGTTTAGTCATTGCACACATCTATGTGCTTTTAATCTTCAGTAGTGCAAGGCAACCAGCCCAGTTCTCAGTGAGAGTGTTAATGTGCTAGTACCGCCTGTGTGAGCCTGTATGATGGCTCTTACTCTGGAGCAGTTCTGTGGACCTGCTCCTCAGCTACCTTCCTTGTACTCTGTAGAGCAGGACTACAGCTCTTGACATGCCTTGCTGCCTTGCTTGGCTGGAGATGGGAGACACACTGTTCCAGTGTGTCAGCAGCACGTAACTCTCATGTTTTAATCAAGGTCAGAGTTTGCACAGTGCCGAGGTAAGATGTGACACTCTTCACATGTTTTCTGTACCTTTTGTATTTCACCTGTGCTTGAGCGTGATTTGGGCGTCCCTTTCCACATAAAATGTGATTGTTCAGAAAAGAGGAGCGATGGCCATACCTTCATGGTGAATTCTGTGCATGCGTTTCACAGAGAAAATTACCGATGTGTGACTTCTGTTTTCCCCCTAACCATAAGTTTCCCAGTCTGAGCTGAAACACTTACTCGCACAGATTTTGCGATTCTAACTTTTTCTCCTTCCTGGCTTTATGTAACAAAGTTGATCCACTTCTAATCTTTAAAACAGTAGGTTTCAAAGCATTTTTGTCTTATTTGGCCTGACTTCTATTGTGTTAAAAATGGATAGAAAATGAAGGTATACTTTGGTCATGGATTTGAAATCTTCAAGTTTATGAAATGCGTGCTTGTGCACAAAAACTGTGGCTAGATTTCCTTTACTTCTTGGTGGGGTTAGGAACGCAGTGCTGCATTACCTAAGCAGAAAATGCATCTTGCTGTTGTCTTCAGGAAGCTATGTGTCTCAAAATTCCCACCGAGGAGACTGAATGCTCTGAGTGCTGCTGGCCATCTCATCACATGGGATCAGCTCCACACAGATTTGGGTGGTGTGACCATGATGATACAGCTCTGGACTGACGTGTCTGTGGGTGGTGGTATCTTCTGTCCTGCACTTCCAGGTTTTTTGCAGCAGAGTGACTGGTTAAGATTTCAGTTTACAAAAAAAAGTAACACAGTTACGCACAATCTTGATGCATGTGAGGCTGAGCGATGCTGAGAAGAGTCAGCGCTTCCCTCTTGGTCTGATTTGCACTTAAGGCTTTTGGTCTTGAGCAGCTTATGTTTCTTTCAGTTGGATGTATCTTTGACCAAGGGAAAATACAGCTGAAAAATTACACATTTGGTGATACTGTAATCAGAACAATTTTCTGTGGACATACCTTTCCCCCATCAAACCCTTCCTGCTTTATTTTAGGTCATCCCAACATATGTCTTATCATGTTCTCAGTTGTGGATACTTTGCTGTGTTACAAACCAAACAAAAATACTCGCCGTGTTCACCAGGTTGAATGTTTTGTGAAAAGCAGTGGTAATATGTTGTATTTTTTTCCTTTGTTTGAAGTGTTACACTGAATGTTTGGTAGGAAGATTATTATGTTTTTTTTACCGTTTTCAATAAAGTGTGATTCATAGTGGAGTTCCACTTCTCTTTATTTTAAGCAATGAAAAAACAATCCCTGCAGCATTCTCAATTGTCCTCTCTGTAGTTGGTGTAAGTAAGTTGCTTTACTTTCTCTTATTCTTTCCCCCGGCTTCTTTATACAAGAGGATGCTGACTAAGTCATGCATAAGTCATTTGCAGTAGCTCAGTAGTTTGACTGAAAGGCAGTTTTTAGATACTAAAATCTGACCACTGTGGTTCCTAAACTATTTGAAAATTAACAGCTTCAGACTTCCATTCCATGAGAGATGTTCTTAAAGTTGAAGGAGGGAACTGGAGAATGTCCAATCTGCTCAGCTGCACAGGACCAGATGTACCTATGCAGATGTTCCAATTTGCAGCTGGTATCCAGGGCTGATTTAGAGGTTAAAAGCATCAGGTCTCCACTGATGGGCCATTATCCTTCAGAGAAATCACAAAGTGGAAAACCAGGGTGTCTGCTGTGGGCTTTGTTAAAGACACAATAACCAGTGAGAGAGGAGGCATTTTGGATGTTGTCCTTGGTGTAGATTTAGTGACCTATGGCCTTAAATATGTTTCTGCACATTGCACATAAGCTGAGCAATCTGGTCACTGTATCTGAAGATGTTCCTACCAGTGCTCAGCAAAATAAATCCCTAAAAGCAATACCTGCTTTTCTAAATCATCTCCTTGAGTGCAATCCCAACTCACTGTGACCGCCTTATCTCATTGCTGCCACAGTATCAGAAAGTTCTGTAGGGCATCACACAAGTCTTAGACTTACCTTTGACTCTGCTTGTAAGAGCTTTCAGCAGTTTTAAGGAACATTTCAACACCTGTACCATGACCATGCAATGTGAGCCTTTCTCTCCATGGATTTTGTGAGTGAAAACCTGTCAGGAAAACAGGGAGCTGTCTTTTCAGGGAAGGTGGGGTGGGAAGTGGGAGATGAGGTGGCAGAAGTGTTGTTGCCAAGGTCAAGCAGCTTGATGGTACCTGGAGGCTTTCCTGTTGTTTCATTTCAAGTGTTTTTTTTTTGGTAGTCTTTCTCTACCAGGACATGTGCTTCATAGCATGTGTCAGAATATTCAAAGGGAACTTTTTCTAGACCTAATGGAATCAGGAAAACCCCCACAAAAACTCTCTGAAAAGGTCATTAATGTTATGAGATTGCATTTAAACTTTGAATTTCCTAAATTGACTTTTAAAACTATATAATGCTCAGCAGGTTTTTTTTGTTTGGTTCATATTTTTTAATGATATCAATATAATGTACAGCTACGAAAGTGCCTTCCATTGAAACCCATACTGTTTCTCAGTATTTTAGAGACAAACATTTGAAGCATCCAGGTAATAGTGAAAACCGTCACATAAGGCAAGTTGCTTGCTTCTTGATGTTAGATGTGTTCTCTTAATTTTATGGTCCGATTCACTGCTGAGACCTAATATGACTTGCCGTATTTCCAAATGATCCCTAACACAAGAATGTATTGAAAGGCTGTATCCAATTGTCAGTACAAATCAGATTTAGTTGCCTCGTTAGTTAATGTTGATGTACAACATGACTTAAGAAAAAAAGGAAGAACAAAAGAATTCCCCTCAGCTGCCCTGTACCAGCGTATTTAAATCACAACGTGACAGGAAAAGCAATAGTCCTTTCTGTGTTCTGGGAGAGAATTTCTTGTCCAGCAAGCAGCAGATGGGTAATCTTGTGCTCCCCTCATGACTGTTCACTGTCAAGAAGGAAAAACCCCTGATTCTATCCCATGCAGACATGCACGCTGACCTTCAGTGGTATGTGTAAAACAAAAACCAAACATGCATCCCACTGCAGGCCTCCTTCAATATTTACACTTTGTCGTCTCCAAACAATCCCAAACGATGACACTGTGGGCTTCCTGAATAAGACATGAAATACTAAGGCACTACACTTTAATCAGTTTATGCCTTTAGTATGTGATTATGTATTTAATCAAGCACTTACAATCCTAGTAAGTTTTATCTAAATGTTGTTTCCTAGATTCTAGAGCTACATCTGCTCCACATGGTAATTTTAACTGCTGTTACTGATTTGATTTTAAAATCCGACTTCAGGAATGACAGGGTAAGATAACACCTAAACCTTACAAATTCATGGTTTCTGTTCAACATCCAGTAAAGGTTGATCTTTTTAAAGCCACTTTTGTTCCTGATTTATGCTTGGTCTTCATTTATATTGGTATCATACTTTGACAGGCCTGAAGTGTTTTCATCAGAAAGCTAGGGAGATACAATAGAGAACTAGAGCAGCTGTAACGATGCTTTCCGTAGCATCTCAGGACTCAAAATTTGAAGAAAATTAACCACGTTTTAATTCTGCCCTTATCAAGGGTCTATTTCTGTGAATGTGAGAGCAAGGATGTGGTAAGTTCAGGAACAGGCCTGTCTTGTGAGCTATAGCCATGACTAGGCAGGCTGCTGAGGACAGTTAACCCCCAGGGAGGTATGAGAGCTGGGGGCAGAGAGGGGCTAGGATTGTGTTAAGCAAGCAGTGCCCCCTTTCTGCTTCTGCTGCTTGCTCCTTTTTCCCTAAGAAGAGAGAAACCCTAAGTTTCCTCACTGAGCTTGCACTTGTGCTTCTCTTCCCCATTTCACTAAGTAAGCCTCAAAGTCCTCTCAGGAGCCTCCTCAAGCAGAACCTGTAAAAATAAAGAGAGGAAAACTCTCCTCCTGCCTGAGACTGTGATCTATTAAGTTCCCCTGCTGCTAAGATACTATCTGCTTTGAGCTACTCCTGTATTTCTGCCGTGTGACCTGGCCCAACCCGTATCCATCAATCAGCAAATAACATTTAAGGTTGGGAAGAAAAAAAAAAAGTGTAACTGAAATTTAACCCCAAATTTTTGTTAACTGGCAAATAAATGCGAGCTATCAACACGAACAGAAAGGAAATAAGCGTTTTGTATAACTTGTTAACATGTTGTAGGATTTAAATATTAAATCCTGCTGTGTTTTAATGAATAACACTGAAAAACCTTTTTTTTCCCCTAGAACAACTGAAACTGATTAATTGAATTTATTTCCTGGTACAGCCTCCCTCTGTATTTTATGTCTGTCTCTTCTTAAAACTCAAACAGAATGGCATAAACTGAATATTTGAAATGCTCTATTGGTTTGCAAAACTACATCAGTCATCTGTACAGCAGCACAAGACTATGATAAAATAAAACGATGAAACAAAGCACCGAGGTGAACTTTGTCCACAGGGAAGCCTTTTTAAGGGATCCCGTGTCAGCAAATTGCTTACTAATGTGTTGACTTATGGCAACCCTCAAAAGTAAAATGAAAAGGCTGGAATTTACAGCATATCAATGAATCAGTTGATAAGCTTTTACTGGTTTAATATCCTCCTAGTTTTGCTGCTTGGAGCCACTTCAAGTTAGCAACAGAATGTTTACCATCTCCCTGTGATAAAGGAAGTCAAACGACTAAACAAATTCCAGGACCATTATACTGTTTGGTGAGATTTAAATTAAAATCGTTGGGAGAAATCATGTGGAGGGGGAGGAAGAAACTAAAGCCAACTGCATCATTTCACAGTGACTCCCCTCGCTGCCTAAACAATGGCAAGATTTTTAGCAAAGCTGGAGATAATGTAATGCATTTGAAAAGATTTAATTGCACCAATAAAAGACTATACCGCAATTAAATGACATACAGAAGTGACATTTATAGGTAAGATCAAAGAAATTCACTACCTAACATGCTGAAGCAACACCCTGCTTTCTGTGTATAGCAGTGCTAAAACGTAGGCTACTTTGGTTTCAGTGACCTTTCTTATCTCCTTTGATCTAGATTATTAAAAAATTTAATGGTAGCTGTAATAAGGGCTACTGTAGCACCCTGAAACAAGTCGAAAATGTGTCCTAATAGCACTAATACTGCAGGCTTTATTTTTTATTTTGTGATATTTAAGCATATGGAACTTGACATTTAACCTTTGTGATCCTTCCAGAGGAGGCAGGGTTATTAAATATTTGATTTGGGGGTTTTTCCTCAATGGCCATGCCATTTGGTTATGCTAATGTTTAGGGAGTGACATTTTAAAAGCACAGAACAAGTTTGAGGCAAAATTTAGTTTAGAAGAGCTTTTTAGCGTCTGGAAATGGATAGCTCCCTGTGGAAAATTTCCTTCGTGTTTTCATTAACCGACACTTGAAAGTGTAAGAGCAAAAGCAGGAAATCTCATCTGCAATTCCCACTTCAAAGCTGATAAGAAAACTAGTATACAGCCTTCAATCATAATTGATACTGAATTCTTTTAAACCTGGCTAATCCATACAAGAAGACTTTATGCATTTATTTTTAATAAAAGGTGAAAAAGTAATGCCCATTTTGTTCCCTGGAAAATCCCGAAGCGTTACCTATGAGAACGGTTCCCTACTGCTGTGGACTGTATATGGAAACTATGTTAAATGAAGACCTACCTATAATCACATGATGAAATGTGGGCAGTCTGTCAGGCTGTATCTCCCTAAGACACGTATCTAACCTGAGGGCCTTAAAAGGTACCCCATTGAGGTAGCTTGGCAGACTGCTACTGTGGCCAGCTGAAGCTCAGTAAGTTGAGTGGTAGAAATTTTAACAGCTTTCTGTATATTTAGAAGCCTTCTTCAACTTCCCCTTACTGAGACCTGTCTATATCTAAGCACATATCTTGAGCCCACAGAAAACTAACCACATCCCTGGAAAAGAAGCATACGGCTGCTTCCCCAGTCTTCCATGCAGAAAAATCTAAGTGTTTCTATTATTGGTTCTCATGATGCTACTTGAGGACAGTCACAATCCACCCAAGGATTCACTTCTTCCAAACTGAAGTGTTTGAGCACTTTCAAGTGTAACATTAGCTTTCTTCAGTTACCTCCATAGTCATTTTCTCTGTTACAGGGAAGGACTTTGCATTGATGACAAAAGTAGCATAGCAACCAACATTCTGTCTCAGTGTTACGACTGAGAACAGTATTTCCATTCTCTCCTCTGTCACCATCACCACACAGGTGGAACAGCGGTACCGGTTTTGTTGCAGGACCTCTAGAGTACCAATCTCACTATCACATGTAACCGCGTAAAGTAACAAGAAAGGGTCTTTGTCTCCAAAGCCCTCCTCCAACAGAATGCAACCAAATAAGCATGAGAAATAATGACAGACAGTAACAAGGCTTTTTGTGCAAGCACTCTTCTGTTTAACTAAAGCAATGATTTGAAAAAAACCCACAACTAAACAACTGATTTAAGTATTGTTCTAAACCTACTGCTGACTTAGCTTGCAGCTTGGGTAAGAGTATTTTCCTAGTTGCACACACTAGCTACACTGCAATGGCTGTCCTGTGTGGCTTTGTTAATCTCTGCTAACCACCCTGCCCGTTAATCTGGACTGGAAGACAACTTCCCACACCCCCCGAGGGACCCTTTGGTGATTGCAGAGGATGTGTCAGAGCAGTTTTTGTTACTGAAGAGCTGAGCTGGACTGGTTCTTACTAAACTGGGGGAAGGCTGGAAGTTGCAAAGAAGCACTTTGAAGTTGCACAGGGATTCTTCAACAAAGGCAAACAGGGTCACTGCAAAATGCTTGCACCTGATTTGGTTTCCATTTGTATGGGCTCAGGATCTTAATTCATTACAGTTGGACTCGTACCTGAGAAGTTAGAGACAGGCAAAGTTATGGAATGGAAATACCCAGTTCAGTGTCCAGTGAGAGGACAGGGAAAAGAAGTGATCATTTATGTATTTATTTGTTTCTCCCCTTACTAAACCCCCTTCATATAATTCTATAGAGAAAGAGGTTAATGTGATTTATCAGAAAGAGAAGGGAAATACAGAGCCTCACAAAAAACCTAGGCAAAAGTCAGACCTTAAAATTAAGTATTAAAATTATTTTCTTTCTACATTGTAAAGAAGATGAAGGAGTAAATTAAAGGGTAGAGAGATGATATTCAGGAGTTTTGATTTAAGGCTGCTTGAATCAGAGCAAAGAAAGAAATGCAACATACCTTTTTCTCAACGAATTGCTTTCTTAATTTTCTATCTTTAGGAGGCACTGTTTCTTTAACCTTTTTTGGTTTTTAAACTTTTGCACTACATTTATTCTCTTTACTTTCTTATTAAAGCTTTAAAACCTTTGGAACATTATATAAAAATAAATATTTTTCAGTGACATCACCTGTAGAAGAAGTAAGACTTACCTAACAGTGTGCCCCATCATGTATTACTCTGGTCTGATACTGCCCTTTCCTACACAAGAGAAGGACAAGACTTTTTACCTGTACATTTTTCAAAGGCTTTCAGGCATGCCCGTTAAAATAAGTGCAACCACTTACAATATATACAAGCAGGATAGATTACAGGATGTGAAAAGGGTTCATCCATCAATTCATGAACACTCTACAAGAGGTGTATTTTTAAAATTAAAGCGTTAAGAGAATATTGTAAGTTTCCCCATATTTGCATGAAATTTCATGAATTAAACTATTCCCGCTTAGTATACAAATATATCGCTCAGTCACAGTGTTTTCCCATATGGTTTTAAAAAAGGTGATAACATGAAATACAGTGCTTCATCATAAAGTAGCCTTACATTTTATTTCTTGCCATGAAAATATGGAATCAAAATTACTTTTTAAGATGATTGCATTTAAGATATTGACTTAAGTAGTTTAATTTAAACAGTCATGTATTATGTGCTCAAATGGTTATATAGAAGTGTGCTCACTTTATGGAATACATGGGAACATGAAAGCAGCACCTGTTTTTCAAAGGAAAAAAAAACCCAACCAAACCTGACTTTAAACCATTCTAACAACTGAAAAGTAAGAAATGCTGACAAGAAGATTACTGGCTGCCTGGAAGGTCATCAGTTTCTATCTGTTACTACTGCAGTCTTTCCAATGAAGATAAAAGTAGTCTTCTATAGAAATTACTTAATAAATTACATCTTAAACTAGTATGTGAATTTTGTGTTAACAACACATGGAGTGCAGAAAACAACAAGTGCCAGCTGCTGCTGACTGGAGAAGATTATAAAACAAGTACTTGAGATGAAAGCTGATTAATTTTTTCCCCTTTTCCCCCTTTTCCCCACAGAGACGTTAAATTTCAAGAAGTGATATACATCAAATGCAGTGCTTCATGCGTACAAAAAAAACCCAAACCAAAACACAACAAAAGAGAAAGTATGTTCACAGGCTACAAGAAAACTTCACCTTTATCTGACCCAAATTCCCACCAAATGCTGATGATCTCCATCGTGACAAAAGATACAGAGCTGGACAAAAAAGGCAGTTGGCTCTTAGAGGAAGGAAAAACTGGGAAAGGAGTGAAAACCAGAACAAGTAGTGTGCACTATTGAGCTGGCAAACACAAAAGGATTAATGGCTAGCAGCCAGCTGAAGGCAAAGCTTTCAGATACAGTGGCTTTTTTTCCCTTGAGGGAGGAAAGCTAACGAAACACTGTGGAGAAAAAGAATTCCAGAGGCATTTCCCTTTTTGTGCCAAATCTAAAGTAACCTTTTTAATGAGTGCTGTCTTTTGCTCTCTCTTGTCAAGCTTTAGGCTTTCAAGGTAGCCAGAAACTGGCAGAATGGTCTTTTGCCAGATCTATCCCACCTGTCTGTGGACAATTATACACCTTCAGTTAATGTTGATGTAAAAGGAAACAAAAGCTCTGTATTTAAGGTTATTAAAAGAGCTTGATTCACATCACAAACTTGGCTGTAAAAAGTCTTCAGGAAAAATTAAAAGGGACAACAGGCAGAAAAAAACAGCCTAAAATGCACTGTGGAAAGAAACTTGCAAGTGGCTGGGATAACTCTTCTAATTACCATCATCACCTCTCCAAAGCAGAGCTCCAGCCAGTCACTTGAAGTGTGATGTCTTTATGCTTATGTTACACACATGCGTCAAATAAATCCAACAAGGTAACGGGCTCAAACTTAAACAGGGGAAGTTTAGATTGGATATAAGAAGGAAATTCTCTCCTGTTAGGGTGGTGAGGCACTGGAATGGGTTGCCCAGGGAGGTTGTGAATGCTCCATCCCTGACAGTGTTCAAGACCAGCCTGGACGAGGCCTTGGGTGATATGATTTAGTGTAAGGTGTCCCTGCCCACGGCAAGGGGGTTGGAACTAGATGATCTTCAGGTCCTTTCCAACCCTAACGATTCTATGATTCTAAGGTAAAATACAGGCGTTTCTTCAGATAACCTGAGAAAGTGACTGACTGGTATTAAAAGTACAGCTACTTCCATTTGCCAAAAGGAAATAGCTATTGAACTAAACTGCAATTAACAGAACTTGTGAGAAAACAAAATGTATCTTAAAATGTATAGTTACTGGGTATTTACCAGTCTGATGAATGAAGGCTGGGATCATATCTAACAAGAGTTTAAATGGAGCAGAAAATAGCCTATACCTGCTAAGCAAGAACAGATAAAAAGGCTGATTACCTTCTCCCGTGCTGTCATAATTTCAGAGGTGAACACTACCAAACTTTCTCTACCATGTCATGGACAAAATACTTTCAGAGTTGGCCATTGATAGCTGGGTCTGGGCTATAAAATGACAGCTGGTGTCTTACAGTACAATCTTTCTTTCCTTTCTTCCTCCAGGTTTATCAGTAACACTAGAAAAAAGAGTTTTGAAATACCGTTGATACTACACACAATTACACAGTCATACGTGTACCTGAGGTTGAAGTGCTAATCCCTGCATATTGCACAATGCTGTATGGAATCTCTGTGCTGTATGGATCACCTCTTTATTTTTACCCATTTTTCAGCAGTTAGTGGCAAGGAAGGAGGCTCTCTCAGGCCTAATTTCTTAGCTATAGACAATAACAGCAACAAATTGCTGAATAAAACCCAAATGCAGACAATGGATTTTCTTCATATGAAATTCATTGATGATGCACTTACTTTGAAATACTTTATACAGATACTTCATATAAATCTATTATCAGACAAACCACTGGCAGGCGATGGACTTATTAATTAGCCAGTCAGTAATTGTCAGAACCCTTTTACATACAGGATTGACGCAGGAATTTTTTTAAATGTAAACTTTCATTTGCCAAGTAATTTGAATCTATTTTAACCCCTTTTCACAGCCATTAAGGTGAGGGTTATTAACTAGATAATGTAACAATGCACAATGAAATAATTTCAAATCATTGGTGTATACAAAATCTGTTAGATTAAATTTGTGAAGGTTTCTTCAACTTCTGCATTTCTGTGTTCTTAAAATAGAAATAAACATTAGTAAATTGATAGAACAAAACCTGTTGTTGGTGCAAAATCCTGAAGTGTAATGAGACTGTGATGGGTACAAGAGAAATAAAGATCATAAAGAAATGAAGAGATGGTCACAGGACATCAGTGACGGTGTCACTGTGATAGCTGAACTTGTCAATATTGGATAACTGTGAGGTGCCTTGCCGCACGTCCTGGAGACCTCATAGCAGCCTTCCAGTATCGGAAAGGGACCTACAAGGATGTCAAGGAGGATATCTTAAGGTCCTTTTCAATCTGGATCATTCTATGATTCCAGGAAACCTCTGCCTTCTTAACGAAGGAACCAGTGAAAACACAATACACAAATGGCAGATAAATCCAGTGTCAGTATCTCAGTAGTAAAAAAATATGCTAGGAGGTACGGCAAAGAATAGATATTTGTCATCTTTGAAGATCAGAGGAAGCAGCTTGTGTGGACTGACCAAAGCCAGTAGAGGAGTGTCCAAGGTATGTGTAAAAACCCAGTAACATGACTCCATGATGAGGCCTCTGTAGTATTTGCTGAAACAAGAAAGGAAGGGGGACATGCAATAATTAGAACACAAGCTGATGACACCTAGCTGAGAGTTTTAGTTCTACATGGGAAGAATCAACTCTTTCATTCATACAAAAACCTTTGCATGAAACAGGCATTAATAAGTAGCGTGTATTTGTTCTGTATAAGGTTTCAAACCCTCATCAGACCACTTGTGTATCCAAGTGTGTGTAACACCAGTTAGTCATCAAGAGAAAAGGAATCCCAACAAACCAAAGACTGGGGTTTTGGTGATCCCCTTGCTGAAGTATCTCATTATTCTAGGACAGGACTTGTTGATTTTCAAGACAAAAATTCTGCTCCTGAGCTCATCCATCTATAGATGTGTTATTGTTAATAATTTAAAATTTGCAAAAAAACGGTTTTGATCTTTTAAAAGAACTTCTGTGACGTACTAAAGGAATTATAAAGAATACTTTCTTCCCTTAAGTGAACTATCTGCCTTTACCTACTTCCCTGTGAGGTCGTGACATCCTTCAAGCATAAATCAATTTTATTCCACACCTTACAACAACAGGACGGCTTTGAGATTTCAAGCTGGGTCAGTTTCTGCTTTTGGGACAATGTGGAAAATGCTTTTTCTACATATGATTTGTTTCACATAGATCCCACCTTGTTGCTGTTGTTACCCTTGTAAAGGTATCAAGTCAAAGGTAAGCAGGGCATGTAAGCCTAAATATCAACAGAACATTTGAGTCAATGAACGCTGTAGATTACATCCATGGTCACATATGAATTTTCTCAGGGTCACACACTTACAGTTCCTGCACAACTCAAGACCAGACATAAATGCAGCACCTCCACACGTGTGGGGACTCACAACTCTGCCTGCAGGCTATGGGCTAGAATTCAAACCATTCCATGTCAAGCAGCGAAGTGCATATATAAGTAATTACAGCATTGTAATTTCAGAACATAAAATATATACTGTATTAACATAAAATAGCATTGTCTATCAATTTTGGTGTGGTAAAATGCTTTTATCATCTGGCACTTTTGATGATAAAATATAGTATGAGCTTAAGAAATATATAAAGGATCCTGCAAAATGTTTAGTTTAAAAACTACTTCACAATGTGTACTTTGCTTAAAGCTTATGCATGCATTGATGAAACTGGTAGTAGAGTAACAAGGAAGTTTTCCTAACCAGGAGTCCTTTCCCTTTTAACCATTTAACTCTTGAAGAGCATATATTGCACGGATCAGTGTTTCTGCTACAAAAGTAGAATCAAATTATAAAATACATGATACAACTTTCAGTAAAATAATATATGAAGTTTCATCTGGCAGTAATACCTGGGGGTATCCATGCATGGGTAAGGAAACAAGATCCCAAATTGATAGTCCAACATACACAAAGACCAAGCAATGGTCTTTATGAAAATCTGGATACACAGGGAACAAGATAGCAAACCAGTCACAGCATGAAAGACAGTATCACAACATAAAAAGTGCCTAGCCTTGATTTTCTTCAAGCACTGTGGTCAAAGACTGTTTTAAGGAAGACAATGAGATGGCTTTGTGGAAAGCCTTTTGTATACCCCCAGGGTAAGAAAAAATGCTTATGTAAAACTTTCACAAATGGATGATTAAAGCTGCCAAATAGGAAGAGATTGGCGGCAAAACTTAACTTCTAAATAATATAAACCAGATGGGATATTTGTGAGGGACAGGTTATACAGGTGTTTAGAAGGAAAGCTTTTACACAACACAGTTGATGAAGGAAAACTGCCAGCAGGACACACAAGAAGGGATATGTGGTTGAAGCAAAAGGCTCTACAAAGATATTCTCAAAGCAGCACTTTGAATAAATACAAGCAATGAAAGCCTACATTTATCACAGCTCAAGACATCCAAGAGTTTTCATCCTTATGCATCAAGTTTACAAGTGCAACCCTTTTACTGACACACCCATTTACAACCCAGTTATCTATCCTAAAATGAACGTCAGCAAAGTGATCACGCACATTAATCATTAAACTGTTATTATTTGATTTTAGGACTCAAGTCCTAAATTGAGAAAATTTAAATGTTAGTGGCCTGTGGGATTTTGATTACCCACAAACTCAGGAAGAAAAAGTCACATTAAATTACATTTTCAAAGCTGTTTCTCAGCTGTAAAGTTTAAACCACACAATTCTTCCTAAGAACAGAAAGCTTGGCGCAAGCCTTTTAAAAGAGTGTGACCATAGGTGAAAATACTAATAAGCAAAACCCAGAAACAACAGCAATTTTACAAAATCTTTCAGCACATTCTTTCAAATCACTTGCACAAGCATTCATAGGCGACAGTTCAGTCAATGAGTCAATGCCATGACTGAAAGAGAAAATACTTCTTATAATTGCAGAGAACATGCTTACACTTGGGTTGCTTGTTTCACCACAGTCTTTAGCTTCCATAATCACTCCTTATTTATATTTATGTTAACCTCAGTACCTGCTGTTTCTCTCCACTATCCTCTTTTCTTTCAAATTCCTCTTCCAAACAAACCAAAGAAATAAGCCTCCCATCTTTAGAACTATAACCGTGTAAACATAGTAATAATCACCTTTGTCCTATCACTTGTTACACTCACTTGTTGTGTATTATCTTCAGTTACCCTCTTAACCTTCAGCTCATTACAGATGGCAGATGCTTGTGCTTGTATGGAGCCTCATTGATTCACATGGTTCTCTTCAGAGCTGCGACCACTGTGACAGTTACTATAGCAAAGGCAAAATGATTCAGAGAGGCCTATAACGGCATTTTTATGATAAAGAATAAATAAACTTTCATCATCATTAATAACTGTTTTATTATGCTTGAAACTGCGAATTGTGAAGATGGGAGGTCCTTTAAGAAATGCCTAAACAAGACAAATGAAAAGATGGAAGCAAAATGTCCATGGCAAAGATACTAAAGAAACCTTTAGAAAAGGGAAATACGGGCTGTAACTGATTGATGAGGAGCACGTTTGGACTCCTGGTCTGTAAAGATGCTCCCTGGCTTTGTTTTTTTAAGCAATATTGTGTGTTGCTGCTGTACAACTGTATTATTATAATGCTATTTAAAAGTGAGTTTTCTCACCAGGCATCATTCCAAGCCCTCACATCTGTGACTTTTATCTTGTTGCATGTTTGCGTCTAAATTTGAAAAAGGTATTTATCTACAGGTGTTAATTCTTCCCAGGTTTAGCCCCAGGACCATTGTAAAAACAAACCTTTTTAACTTTGAGTAAAGGTGGGTATATATTAACAAAGAATATATTTAATGCAACACTAGTAAATGTCTTTTTACTGAATAGGGACCATATCAAATAGACGTAAAACCCCCCTCAATACTAAAACATTCCACCAAATAAACACAATCTCAAAATCAGTGTTTGCTTGAGAATATGAGGTAAAGAAAGTTATGACACTCAAACATATTAAAACAAGTGTAAAAAGCTTTCACCTCTCAAAGAATTCTTCTTCATCAAGATGCACTAGTTTCTTCAGTTTTACTTTCATTGTCACAAGAATAATATTCTTTAATACATTTCAGATATGAAAAGACATGTTCAAGCCACTGAAGGGCAATTCTGTTGTTTACCTGGCCTAAAGTGCTGAATTCAGACAGATCTTGAAACAAGACTTTATGCTGTTTAGCATGAAATTATCTTCTTGAAGAGAAAGCATAGTTTATTTTAATTTATTTTAAATAAAAACAAAAATTCACAAATCAGAATGTAGTTGTTTACCTAACGTTAGCTGTGGAGGACTGGGATCAAGAGCATGCACCACTCCTTTATCTGCATCTTCCTTGGTTTTGTGGCCAGTGCTCTTTTTTCTTAGTCCTGCATTTACCACTGCTCTGACCATTTCTTTGTTCACAGGTTTGTAAATGTTCTTGGTATTCCTTGTCCTTGACTTAAGAGGATCTGCTAATGAAAGGTCCTGGAGCTGGTGACTGCGTATTATGCGATCCTGTAGAGCAACTGCAGACGCTGCTGTTGTCTTTTGTTTGGAGGAGCTGCCCTAAAAGGAAAAAAACACAAATGTGACTAATTACTGTTATAAATTATGAAAAACCATCTATAATTTACTAAATTAAAAGAAACTCTGCTCTTAGCCAGTATTTTTGCCTTGCGAAAAGCTTTTATACACATGCATCTCCCATACTTGAAGCCTAATACACAATTACCATAATATGAATTTTAAGATTGATGTTTGACACATCCTAGTTTTAACTTATAAAAAGTCAAATGAAATCTTTGATTTCTCAATAATATCAAATAAAATAGCAGCATTTTTTAATTACTGAGCTTATAATTATTATATGCAATAAACTCATTATGGACTATAAAAGTCTGGCATGCCCGAACGCATTTTTACTTCGATTCCCAAAGGCTAACCTTGCCTTCCAGAACACTGAATATAAACAAGAACATATTATTTTTATACAGGGAATAGGCTTATCTACCTATTCCTCCATTTTTCCCCACCCTTCTGCCTTATTTTAAAAGATGTGAAATAGTACATTATAATACCATGATGCTCTGTTGATAATCTTTAGCTGATTTTACATAAGTAGCATGGTTCTACAAGCAGACATGTAAAAGAACTTGAATGAAATTTCTCAAGAGAAGCAACCCTCATCAGTAACAGGAGAGAAACCTACAATTTCACTCATTTTCTCCTTGGCCTACCGTGGGAGACAGCTTAGCATGTACTCCAGGCACAGCAATTAACTCTGGATCCATAAAGCACCAACTGTGCCCTTCTCTTGTCAGCCTCATCTCACCTCCAGTGCACTGCTCCTAACGTACACAGAATGGCTTCTAAATGAATGTCAGTAATCATGAATTCCAAACTGATCTGAGGCAAAAATATGGCTGTAGAAATAAACCTCATTGAACTGTTCTGCCAGATCAGTTTATTGTAGGCAAGGAAGCCTGTGATACATAGAGCAAGGAGGATGTAAGCAACTGCTTTGAGGCTGAAGCTGCTCTGCTGTGATCTCCACATCCTCATTGGTACAGTTGGAAATCCTGGTGTGGGTTGGTAATAGAGAGGGGGCTGTGGTGGCAGACACCCTTCAGTGCTGGCTGTGGCAATCAAGAGCCACTACCTACAGCCCTGCTCTTTACCAGCTTTCCTGGTGGCTTTAAATTTTAAGGAAAGCTACATTACTGCTATTTTGGGTGACCTCTGTTTTTTGGCAACTCTGTATAAAACAAAATAAAAAAGTCTATAGGAGGAGAATAGATGAGTGGTATCTGCAAGGATCAAACCAAAGATCTCTGTCACCTAGTGTCCCATCTCTGTCCATGGCAAAAGCAGATGGTTCAGGAGCACTGTAACACGGAGGCTAGTATACAGCGACAGCTCCTTTAGGGAATTCTCAGGCTTCAGAGCAAGACTTCCTGAGCCAGAAGCACTGCTCTTGTTTTTAATAACCACTGATTTGTTTCCTTAAGATCCAGAACTGTGCAAAGGTACTTTTAGCCCCTAGTAGGAGTGTAGCTTCCTTTGGCTATTTTCCTGGTTACTCTCACTTGGTGGCCCTCTAGTTCCCGAGAGGAGGACAGGTACAGATGCTGCCTCAGGTCCAGGTGTACCATTTCTTTAATCTTTTGGGTGTAAATAGTTGTCAAGAGTCCTTCTCAACTGCTGCTGACTTGAGGGATTTGTTTTCTTGTGGAGCTGACATTTTCCAAGCAAAAGCAGTGAGGCTGTCCTGAGAGTGGTTCTTCAAGCAGCATATAAATGGAGTGATTAATCCACTGGGTGCATTTCTTCTTTGTAATTATAAGTAATTACTTTAAAGTCAAATCTGCAAATGAGGATACCTCTGTGTACTGTAGGGAAAGATGTAAAAAGCAACTGAAGTGGCTATCTTTAAAACGACATTAAATCACCGATTCTTTCGAAGGACAGGAATAAAAGATAAGATGATTTTTAAAATAAACTTGCAAGTTAGCCTGGCACCAAGCATGACGACTGTGCCACAAAGGGATATTTTACAGTATAAACTTCTGAGGATTTTTTGTCATGATTTTTAATCAGTAAATAAAGTAGAAAACTTGATTTTCTGCTGTCTAAAATGTAAATGAAAGTGTAAATTCTGTAATATTTCCAAAACCACATTCAGATGTAGAAAAATCATTAGTATGTATCAATTTGAATACAAAGATACTGAAAAATACCCCTCTCGTACCTACTTCATCTTCATTGTTTTATGCTTGAACTTGGTCCAGCATTCTTGTGTCTTTTCAGTATTGCATTGCTGTGTTTTGGTTTGTTTAAAGGAACCCTCAACTGAGTTTCTTGAAGTTACTAATAAGCTTGTTTTACAATGAAGTTTGCTGTCTCTTCTATTTCTGTCATACCTCATTAATGTGATCCTATACACATACATGCTCAATTAAGGCTTTTCATTAAAATAAGCCTTTAATCCAGCGGTGCTGGGTCTTAATTGAAACTCAGGGAAGGTTAGTGTTGTCTTTTATTTTGGTTTTCACCTTTACCTACTTCCTACTGCTTCTAAACCAAAATGTCTGTATTCGCCTTAGCTGATACATGGTCAAGGAAGGAATTAAAATTCACCCTGCAGTCTTCTGGGGAGTAGCCTGTCTCAGTAATTGCCATTTCTTATTGAGTGCCACCTTTTACCAAGAGCCTCCACTTCAAAAGCGAAAGGTTGCTTTAAACACTCCAAGGACATTAACAGAAGGAACACGCTGCCTGTTTTGAAGTTGACTAGTAAGTGACTAATGATACCTGGTTTTACCCATGTGTGTAAATTTAAAGTGTTCGTTGTGTGTTTAAATAGTGCTAAAATTATGGCTCTGCCTCGAATGGTTGAGTTTTACAGAATTCTGTTTAAGGACATTTAGGAAAAATGAGAATTTTAGCCGCAGGTTGATAGCACTCACCTGAGGTATTGCATGATGTAATAGGTTTTCAAGGCTTTTTGAAGGAGTTAAGACACAGATTTAACAGCTTCTGGTGTTCTAGAACAAAAGGCACTAGTCAGAAAGCCGACCCATTTTACTCTTGTAGAGCTGCAACTGAGCATGGTACTGCTAATTAGCAGAGGCAGGTGGCCTGCTGCCATCAATGGCGGAAGAGTAACTTTTCAGGAAGAGCTCATAAATAGCTTTAAGTTGAATAAATTTGGTACAGCAACAACAATGCTAGGGCAAAGGTTTGAAATAAACTTTGTAGTATGGATAGCTGCTGTAACGAACTTCACTTGGACACGGTCCTTATGCTGTGGTACGGTCTGATAACTCTGGGTATTACGTTTATCATTATACATGATAATGTATTATGTTTTTACACTTTGCCATGTTGAAGGAGTGTAATGAAGATAGTAAAGTGTTTGAAAGGAATATAGTACTTTGTGGAGGTTCCTTTGAATTGATCAACATTTGAATGTTTATTTTAAAAGAATGTGATAAAAATGTTCCTTGATACAGTAAGTAAAGCTTGTGCCGTAAACAGCTAGAACAGTTAGTTAGTGCTAAACATTTTACGCACTTATCTCTGGAAGGGTTGTTGTGTAATGTTCTTACAGGGATGCTGGTCTGTGATGCTGTCATCAAACCTAGCTCCAGGGTATGGACAGTGACCTTTGCTTATATAAAGATGCAGATTTCCACTCTCAACCCCTGCTGGAAATGAGGACGTTTATACTGCTGGAAGTGTACAAGCCAATAATTCTTCTAAGAATCTAATGTGCCGCTGTCACAGATGATGAGAGGTGAGTCTGAATGTGTTAACAAGCAATTCCAGCTTGAAATACTTCTGCTGGCTGAAGAAGGCAGGTTTTGGCAAATCTGCACATGTGAGCCATGCCTTTGACTCAGCAAGGAGCACTGTGTCACAGAGCTTTGTAGTTGCCCACTTAAAGGTTTTTTGAAGAGAACTGAGTCAGACGTCCTTAATTATAAAAACATAGTGTCTGCTTTTTCTTGTCAGAGGTTTGAAAACATTTTATCTTGTTTACTACTTGTTCACATAAATAGTAAATATGTATATTTGTTTATACGCGTGTGTACACGCATATGCTCTGTGTTTTTCAGCGTTGTGCTACTTGTTTACTGTTTGTATTTTCTGCAAGTTTCTGCTAACTTTCAGGCATGTGCTTCCAACTCAGTAGGAAAGCTGCAGAGTTTTATTTTGTAAGGGTAGTAGAGATGTTCTTAGGGTCAAGTCCATGAAAAGGCTGTCAGTGGTTTATAGCTGAATTCAAAATCTGTTCTGTTAAGTAAATACCATTTCCTTCTCAGGGAGGAAAAGCTTAATTTAAGGGGAAATTTGTATATGTACGTTTTTGGAACAAGTGAGATTCCAAGCCAAAGTTCGTGCCTAACCATTAATTTTTATCGAGCATATGTCATAGTGAAAAATTTTTTACCCCAATACTACACACATTAGTATGGATTTATAGACCTGATCTGCCTTTTATTTGCAAGAATGCATTGGAAATGACTTCGGTAATTTCCGAAGTAAAAAGAATAAACCCAAAACACCTGGCTTGCAATATTTATGACGCCTGTGCATTAACCGTGTATGAGCCTAGGTTGTGTAATGCTGTAGGTGTATGAATGTTTAGTTTTGGATGTATCTGTGAAGATCTGCATATGTTCTAATTTGTAATTCCCTGTTAGATGAATATTTGCTTAATAGAGACATTTTCCACTGTGTGGGAAATACGTTTAATTATGTGGAGGATTCACACACAGTTCTACAAATGTGTAGTGTAGAGCACAAGCCTGAAATTCACACCACTGTCGGCATTTAATGCACTGATATTGTTTCTTCCCCTCTGTTTGTCTTTGGAGAGGTCCTCATTCCTTGAGGATGAAGTAAAGCTCTGGTTCCATCACTGCAGTCTTCAGAATTAGCACTGAAAACACAGAATTCTTTTCCTGGGTTGATGAAAGTAATTTCTTGTTTGCTGTGTCAAACAAAGCATGCTATTTGTCACATTGTGGTTTGTGTATCTTTTAAGAAGCTTTCAACTTTGATCTGAGTCGAGGTACACTCAGTAGCACAGATGACAGAAGTAACAAACAGTGATGTGCATTGTCATTCATACAAACTCTTTAAGTCAACAAATACAGAGACTTAGATGTAGAAAACCATATTGCTTTTGAGGGGGCTTGTGCATTCTTGTGAGAAAATGCAGACCTTTGCTTTTCTGGTTTCAGACAAAGGTGTGGAACAATTTATTAGTTAAGGATTCAGTTCAGTGTCTGCAATCAAAAGGTGCCTCTTCTAGTCCAGATTCTGGCCCTTGCTTATATTTTCTAGGTAAACAGTTGCATTTAAAAGACTACATTGTAGATGTAGGCTCAGTAGCACATAAAAGCTGCTTTCTTCCAACTGTCATCACAGAGGTTTTCAGAGCATGCTTTTAATACTTCCAGCGCTGAGTTTGTGTCTGTTTCTCCCTCTCTCTCTCCTTATGTGAAATGCTATTTGAAACAGGGGTGTTTTTTTAAATGCAATTTTCACCTGCTTTTTACTTGATCTGTCCATAGGGAAATTAACCTTTTGTGCAACAAGACAGAGGGTTAGAAATCTGTTTCACAAAATTACTGCTTTAAGAGAACACAAAAGAGACAGTTACAACAAACAAGCAGTTGTTCTCAATGGTTGTGTGATTCTGAAAGTCGTGTCTCGCCACATGTTAAAGCTCTCAGGTTTGGGGCACAATGTGATCGTTCAGTCTGGCCTTCTAAGGCTGCGTGAGGGATTTTATGCAGTTAGCAAAGTTTAGAACTGA